CTTAATTTAATTTAATTTTATATCGTTTCTGGGAACTATGGGTATTTCTGAAAATAAATAATTATATAAATGAATTAGATAGATATTGCTTGATCGATTTGCAAGTTGCAATGACATAACTTATTTTGTAGAATTTATAGAAACATTTACTAATAATAAAATATTGGATTATTTATGTAGAAAATCTTTCAATTTCATTTTTATTAATGGCTTGCTAAAATATTATATTTAAATAATACAGAAATGAATCATTCTTGAATCAAAAATAGCTGGTATAGCACAGATAATTTCAATTTCAATCCATTCATCAGCCTCCAAGTGTGATTTGTTAAGAATTACAGAATTTAACTCGTGAATTGCAAGATATGTTATTGTATCAAGGCCAACTCAATCCAAAGATAATCTTCATTTGCATTTAATTCACATGTTGACAATTTAAGGTCAGCTTCATATCAGTTTTCAATGATAATTTCTTATCTTATCAACTCATAATATTTTCATTTATATATATATCATGTTAAGTAGACATTTCGAAGAATTCTATCAAAAACGGAAACTGCTTTGATATCTTTTATTTATCTAGCGAATTTCGGATAATGAATATAAATTAAAGAGAAGATTATTGTAGAGAAATTTTCTTTCTTCAACGCCAACGATCTAAGTCAACTTAAATCAAAGTTATCTGTCTGCTTAATTTATTTTCAATTATTCTCAGAAAAGCTATTCTTCTGTTTTTATTTCTTTCTTTCTACTACTTATCAATATTTCTCTGTTAATTTTTCCTTTTATTCATTCGTGCAGCTATTCAGAGGCATCAAGATAATTTTAAATGCCTTTTCAAGTCCATAAAATTTCTTCTCGTGAAACTATTTTACCGTAGATAAAATATTTGGATAATTAAATATTAAGTAGCGATTCAGAGAATGATATCTAAAATGTGAAGTTTTATTTATTAATCAAGTGTCAAGTTACTTTGGTTTGTCATATGAATTTCACATTGTGTTTTATAAAAGTTTGAGAAATGTTTTATTTTGAAGTGACGCAAGATCACACGCGTTTGAACATGGTAAAAAGAGCGACATAATACAAGAGTCAGCCGGCAAAACTTTTCTTTAACAAACATCTAATTCTATAGAAGAGATTTCCAATTCTATTTTCCTTACTCAAGATTCTCATAGTCTCTCCGAGTTGCGACATTCATTCCTCTCTCTTCATTCATTCGTTTTAAAATTTTCTTGATTTATTTTGCCATTCCATTTTTAAGTTTCAAGTTGATTGGTTGTGCGATTTTAAGCAAGCTAAATATTTTTTTTATTGAGTCACATTATCTACCGCTTGGTCTTAAAACGATTGCGAGTTTATCTTATTATCAATAATACATTAAATAAATATGTGATTTATCGATCAAAGCTTAAATAGAGATTTTGTGCTTCAGTGTACTCTGTTATCAAACGACGTAAATTAATAGAAATTTCCATGATAATAAACAGTCCTCAGGTCTAACATAAGCTATGTGGCAAATTTGTACGTAATTACCAAATAAAAGTAAACTTTGAAAAAAATAACATTGCAACAAAAATTTTATCAATTTTAAACTGACTGTGAAACTTTTCAAATTCAAAATGAAACCATCAAAGAAATCATATATTTTAATGCTTTATTTAATTGGAATGATATTTGAAGTTAATGCAATTAATTATTGCTCAAACCACACATTTCCAACATCACTTGGTACAAATTTCATGCAATTCACTAAGGAAACTGTTACCAAAGAGTATGCCGTTGATGGTCAGTTCAAAGCATTGCATTGTTGTGCGAAAGGATATCGGAGCATTGAATGGTAAGTTGGAGTTCATCAAATGAAAGCATTTTTGTTCGACAACTGTGAATTATTGAATTTCCCTGAAGATTTCTGTTTTTGAAGTCTCAATAAGCTTTCGTTTACCTCAAACTGAAAATGTTGAAGTTACGCATTTGAAACCACTGAAATGTAAATTTCTGCGCATGTGTTCAAACTTGATACGCAGGAGGAAATCCTTTCGAGCCTCAAAAAGGAAAAAGTTCATTTTCCGAGTATTTCTTGATTTTAAATTTACATCATTCGGAACTTCCGAAATTTTTCGTTTCGCAATTGAAGGTTTTGTGATAAAATTTCAGGCATTTTGCATCGATTAATTGTTAATGCATGAATTGAATCTGCAATCTGAGTCAGATGTTCAAGCATGAAACAAACAAAGAGACGGGAGGTGAACCAATCTGTCCTTTTCTTCGTTTCTATTCATTTCCACATTCTCCCTGTCAAGGTGTGAGCTCTGAACACCTTTTTGTTTACTCTTCATTGAAGATAACGAAAGATTATTTCTGAAAAAATTAATTTCATTCCACTTCTTGAAAGTATTTGAAATAATTAAGTTAGGTAACTAGCAAAGCAAGAAACAAATTTATAAATAAATATTGATGAAGAAATTTCTATTTATGAAAGTTTTGCAACAATTCCTTATAATTTCAGTTGTTTTAAGAACTCCCAGCAAATTTATAAATTTATTTAGGTAATAAGAAATTTCTATTTAGGAATATTCTGCATCAATTTCTTCTAATTTCAAATTTTTCAGAAACCTCTCAACAAATTTATGAATAAATATTGATGAAGAAATTTCTATTTATGAATGTTTTGCAACAATTTCCTATAATTTCAGTTGTTTTCGAAACCCCGCATGGTTCAACATGATTCAAACGAATCTGCTTCTTCTTGTTCTTCATCTCTTACTTTGCTTTTCTTCTCCTTAAACTTTTCCCGAGAAATCTTTTGTGTCGTTTCTTTCTGTTCTTCACCGACTCAGCAATGCTCATTTGATTCTTCTCGTCCCTGTTGAGTTTGAGACTTAAGAATGAAGAGAGGAAAAGAGTCGAAAAGAATTTTTTATGTGATTGTTATCACTTTTGGATATTCTTGTGTCTTCTTTTTGGATTCTTTTCTCTTCGAAAGTTATATACTTAAGAACTTTATGGGTGATCTCAGAGTCTATGAAAATGTTCTTGGAATCGCAACATGCCTCGGTCGCTTTATGACTAAATTATCAAATCATAACGAAAAACGACTTCAGTGTCAGCCACAATGACGTTTAAATGAAATCATGTCTTCAATTCCCCACATTCCTCTTTACACGGCTGTTCTCGCTTCCTTTAGTGCGCATTGTGTTTTTAACAAACTTCAGATGAAAAAAAGCGAAAAGCAAAAGAAGAATAGCAATGCCGTTTGTGTTAATAAACTGTTATCACGTCAGAATAATCGAATGTCTGCTTCCCGCTTTCCAAGAACACGATGCTTAACATTCTTAAAAAGTTGTGAACGACTAAGAATGAAGGAGAGAAAATGAGTTATGAGCTTTGACTTTTAAATATGAAAGAATTTCACCTTTTGTAAACGCTGAGACTTTTGAACAAAAAGTATATTGAAACTTGATTTTGATGTGCTTGAAATTCAAGTGTTTTGTTAAATTAATTAAGTATCACGAACTGAAAGCTTATATTTAATTTTCCCAGTCGACTGCAGTCTCACAAACCGGCAACATCACTTCCGATTGTTTCTCTAATTCCTGAGAAGGAATGAAAAATATGAAAACGAAGAATCGTGTGAGCTCGAACAAAGAGTGTAGAATAAACATAATAAGATACATATCGAGTTCTGAGAAGCGTTTATGAAACAATAAAATCTCATTACAACCAGGTTAAATAAATATATGTTTAATAGTACAAATTATGTTTGCTTGAAAATGGATAATTAAAGCGAGATAATTTGAATTAATTAAGGGTTAAGAATTTTCAATAGCTTTCTACACTTAAAAGATACAAAAGTGAAGCTCACGATAAATGAACAAAATAACTGCATCACTTTCATGTTGCCGAGTTTACACATTATTTATTTATTTTTGTTTTGAACAGTGTTAATATGACATTTGCCTTTTGTTTGGTTACATATTAAAATCTTCAAATACCAACTTAAGTATTTACAAAAGCGAGTGGATAAATATTTTTCTAGAAAGCACTCAAAAGTTTTAATTCTTTTTATTTCGTTCAATGGCTGTGTTTCAATTAGAACAAAATATTTTCACGATTCAAAATTCATTTTGATGTGTAAATAATTAAATAACATGAAGAAAACTCCCGCGAATAATAAGATATCTGTAAAAGTCTTAACTTTCAATAAACTTTTCAAACATTATGACCAAAATTCACATCCAGATATGTAAATTCAAAATTCATAAAAGAAGTTTCTGAATTTTCTCAGCTGTTATCGATTTCCAATGAAATCTTTAAGATTAGTTTTAAATTTCATTAGAAAATCTCATGTAAACAGCCAAGAATCAGTTTGCGATTTTTGTTTGCTTAAAGAGGCATTTTGTGCCCCACATAAAGCAGCGTGGGAAGTCTCAAATTTCATCCGTAAAGTGCTATCAGCAAAAAAATTAGCCTTCAAAATCTATTCAAGTTTCTCGTGTCAGCTCTTGTCTTAATTTTCTCCCTCTCAGCAAATTCAATAGAACTGTCAAGTTTTTACTATCAAAATTTAAGTTGAACTTAATTTGAGTATCACTTGAAACGGTACGATGACTTTCAGACATTCGTTTCCAATTTTTTATCCACTTGATGATGTCCGATTATGTTTTAAGCATTTTCTATTGTTCATCTTTCACATGTTTCTTGAGCATCATTAAAACCTGACAGTTTGAAAATTTCTCAAAAATCTGCCTGGTCATACACAAAAACGTGAAAGAAGTCTTAAAACATCGTGCAGTTTCCTTTTCTCGGAAATATTTTGTTGTCTCAAGAGCAACAAGGTGTGAGGAAAATCAACTACGTATGGCTAAGCAGATATTTTATGTATCAAATGTCTTGAAATATAAAATTAAATCACATGCATATTTGCATAAATAGGTTTAGCATGTGTGGGTACAGTGGAAAATCTTCTTGACAAAAATTAAATTTATTGAGGAAAAGGAAAAAGAAATTCCAAACTCTACAATGTAGACAGATTATAATCGTTGAACAACTTTCCATAATGAGATATCTGATTATAGTCATGCATGTCATGTTGAATAAGCTTTCAGAGTTGACAAGTACGCTACTTGTTTTAATTATAATTGTTGCTATTGTTGTCTTCTCAAGTGTTGAGAAACATGCACTTGATAACGTTGAAAATCTCTGATTCGAAGAATGATTCTGAAGAGATTCGATTGAATGCGACCGACGTAATCTTACATTTATATAATTATTTCGGGAAGTATTATAATTTGCATAAATAAACTTTGAAAATCTTTTCTTAGCAAGAATTTTTATTAGAACGTTGCCCGATTTTATAAACCAATTCCGCGTATGATTTTTTCGTGTAAACAACTTCGTCAATTTATTATTATTTATTTCATTAATTCTTGGAAATATTTGGAAAAATATTATGATTTCTGATGAATTCATTCAATGATTTCTTCAAGGTTGAAGGATGGAAAACGATATCCATGGTCATCTGAAGATACATCGTCCTTAATTCTGTATCCACAAGAGTCAAATCAAACAATTTATGCAAGACGAGCATCAAATGTCGACGAAGGTCAATATACTTGTGTTCTTCGTAATGACACCTACAAGTTGGAACATAATATTCAGTTGAGAATACTCGGTAAGTTTTCTATCTTAAATATTGAAAAGTAATTTAACATTTTAAATACTTTCAGAATCTTCACCAGACGTTCCACTCGCAACTTTTACACCCCAAAATCAATTTGCTGACATCGGAGGATCCGCTCGATTCTTCTGTGAAGCTTTCGTAGGAAAAAAAGATTTGCCAGACATCTCCATCAGTATTAAATGGTATCACATGTCGGATGGAAATCAAGATGATGTGATTAATGATAATCAACAAGAGGTCGTGAAACGCGAAGAAGAAGAAATTATTGGATCATATTTAACGATTTCTGAGGTCACTTCAAGTCACTTTGGACGATATTTGTGTCGTGTTGAAATGGGAAATTCACAAACTCACCATCTTGAATTGTCAGCGGAACTCATAAATGCACTTCCGATGGAAGATTATGCGACGGATATTTTTAGGAATCCATACTTCCTTGCAACATTTACAGCTGTCTTGACATTCGTTTTATTTTTTCTTGTCTTTTATTCACGTTTCAAAGCCATCGGCCCAAGAAAACTTGACAGTTTTGAGATGTGATGTAAAGGTCATGTGGAAGTCCCTCACTTAACAAAAAGGAAAATGATTTCACATGGTGATACAAACATCATGATTACTGTTACGTAAACGTATTGATGAGTAGAATTTTCTGAAATTAGATTGATTTATGTAATAAAAAAATATATAACTTTGTGTTGGCTGTGATAAAAAATAAGAAAGAAAAATAAATATTGATTAGATGTAATGAATATCTACTTCATAATTAATAATATTAACCAATAACTCTGAATGTTAAATGTGACTCATTCAATCTCTCATTCATTACAATGCAATGCCTTATTCATTTAACACTTAAGACAACAAGTTTCTGGAAATTTAAACACCCTCTAAATATTTTTTTAATGAATTTGTAATGAGCTTCCTACATAAAGTTTGCTGCAGATAAAATTTATAAATAAATTCCAAGAACTCTCAATTGTTGATTCTTTAATTTAGAGCAAAAAAAAGTAAAATTTTGTATAAATATTGTTACAAGGAATGAATCAATTTATAACACTGAGTTTAGAATAAACATTTATCTCTAATGTCTCAATTTCTCGGTATCAAACTATATTTAATTGGTTTAAAATTGATCTATTCCGACTCTCGCATTCTTTTTCATCTACATTGTTCAATATCAAAATATTTTGTGATGTTTTCAGATTCAAAGTGTAATTTATCTCAGTTTAAGATGTCAATCATTTAAAAACTTATGTTACCATTTGGGTGGTCATGTAATAATAAATATCATTTAGACATATAGATGAGAAGCTAAAGATCTTAGATTGGACTTAAGAAATCTACTGGTTTCTTATATGTTTCAAATCAATCATCATGTATTGAGTATTAAAATTTAAATTGATCTCATTCTACATTCAGACAGATTCTTTTTTGACTGATAGTTTCACAATTTGTGAGAGAAATTAAGACTTTTGTCACATTCGAATTATTTAAAAACTTTTCATAAACAGCGTGAGTAAGATAAACATCTGAAAATAATTAAATTATTTTTATGATTTAAATTTATTAGCATTGATTCATCGATGGATGTTTCAATAACTAATCAAATAGGTATTCAATTATAAATTTTTATGTGAATTTTGCCAAATTTGTAACTTTGACTCACATTAATTGAAAGGAAATTGTTAGCGGATGCACAAATAATAAATTTCATTGTGGGAAATGTTCAGCAACTTTCATATTTCCTGGTGTTTTTGTGATCGACAATCTTTCTATAAAGTCCAATTTATTAATGGAAAAGTTTCTAGAAATTTCTGGCAGGATATTGAAAACTCTTTTAAAATATACACGAGCACAATGAAATTCACTGATTGTTTTCTTCAGATAATCTTTGTGAAGATTTTATTAATAAGATTGTAATAAATTCGAACATTGAGATAAATATTTGATAAAAAGATATCAAAGTTTTTATTACTTAATTGAAAATTATTTACACCTTCTAAGTAGGTATCTTAACAAAAATAAATAAATATTTAAACTAAACTAACAGAAAGTTTTTTTTCGTAAAGTGTTCTCCTAATACTATTTCTGGTCATGTCTCGAGTATTTAAAATATTTCAAATTAATTTTTTCATAATCTTATTTCGTATTGACTGGTTTTAATTTAATGTTTGGAATGTATGTCGATTTCAGATGTAATTGCAATCAACATGAGTGAAAGGTTGACTTTTGAAAAAAATGGCTTCACTTCCGGCAAATTTTTTCACTCTTGGTTGATAATAAAATCGCAATTGAAGAAATAGAAAAAACCCAATGAGTGTGATGACAAACGCGCAAGACGCCAACAAGTATGGATTTAAAAAGATGAAATTGTTAGTTTCAATTGGAAGTGCATTTATGAGTTCCGCTGACATTTCTAATCGATGGGTTTGCGAATTTCCCATTTCAACACGACACAAATATCGTCCAAAGTGACTTGAAGTGACCTCAGAAATCGTTAAATATGATCCAATAATTTCTTCTTCTTCGCGTTTCACGACCTCTTGTTGATTATCATTAATCACATCATCTTGATTTCCATCCGACATGTGATACCATTTAATACTGATGGAGATGTCTGGCAAATCTTTTTTTCCTACGAAAGCTTCACAGAAGAATCGAGCGGATCCTCCGATGTCAGCAAATTGATTTTGAGGTGTAAAAGTTGCGAGTGGGACGTCTGGTGAAGATTCTGTAAATAAAAGTCGAATAAATTAATCAAGAATTGTGTCAAGTTAATAACGAAGAAATGATTATCAAATTATTGTGTTGATAATCAAAAAAGCAATCAATCCATGAGATGCGAACTTACCTAATACTTTCAGGACAATTTGATGCTCAATCTTGTGTGTGTCATTCCTCAACACACATGTGTATCGTCCCTCGTCAGTTTTTGATGCACGACGAGCATAAATAGTTTGATTTGCTGCTTGTGGATAAAGTATTAGAGATGAGGTAGACTCTGACGACCATGGATAACTTTTTCCATCTTTCAACCTTTAATATAAAAAAATTGGAAACATATGAAAATCTTTCTCATTCAACTTTAATCGAAAACAAGAGAATTGCTCGAAGATAATATTAAGATCTCAGTGTTGATTGTTTATTTGTCTACATTAAGAGTAATTTCTCTAATTCTAAAAGTATCTGGAAATGAAAGGTCAAGAAAACAATTCGAATGAAATAATTGAGCATTCCAAGATAACTCTGACGTTGTTGTCAAGGCATTTGACATTGTCTATGAATACATTTTAATAGAACTTGAGTTATTTACGAAATTTGACATTTGAGGTTCTTTTCCGTGTTTTAAGTTATGTTCAGATTTCTTAAGTCGTCTTTGAAGAATAGAGCTTTCTATGGAATCTTGGTTGAAATTGTTTTGAAGAACTTTTAGAGCTTCAATAAAATAAATAAGCAAAAAATGTTTCTGCCGACAATTTCAGCTTTTGAGTCAAACTAAAAATTTATCGTTTACCGTCATCTGAAGCTTGTTGACAACACAATGAGCACAAGGGAAGCGAGAACAGCCGTGTAAAGAGGAATGTGGGGAATTGAAGACATGATTTCATTTAAACGTCATTGTGGCTGACACTGAAGTCGTTTTTCGTTATGATTTGATAATTTAGTCATAAAGCGACCGAGGCATGTTGCGATTCCAAGAACATTTTCATAGACTCTGAGATCACCCATAAAGTTCTTAAGTATATAACTTTCGAAGAGAAAAGAATCTAAAAAGAAGACACAAGAATATCCAAAAGTGATAACAATCACATAAAAAATTCTTTTCGACTCTTTTCCTCTCTTCATTCTTAAGTCTCAAACTCAACAGGGACGAGAAGAATCAAATGAGCATTGCTGAGTCGGTGAAGAACAGAAAGAAACGACACAAAAGATTTCTCGGGAAAAGTTTAAGGAGAAGAAAAGCAAAGTAAGAGATGAAGAACAAGAAGAAGCAGATTCGTTTGAATCATGTTGAACCATGCGGGGTTTCGAAAACAACTGAAATTATAGGAAATTGTTGCAAAACATTCATAAATAGAAATTTCCTAATCAAAATTTATTTATAAATTTGTTGAGAGGTTTCTGAAAAATTTGAAATTAGAAGAAATTGATGCAAAATATTCCTAAATAGAAATTTCTTATTACCTAAATAAATTTATAAATTTGCTGGGAGTTCTTAAAACAACTGAAATTATAAGGAATTGTTGCAAAACTGTCATAAATAGAAATTTCTTCATCAATATTTATTTATAAATTTGTTTCTTGCTTTGCTAGTTACCTAACTTAATTATTTCAAATACTTTCAAGAAGTGGAATGAAATTAATTTTTTCAGAAATAATCTTTCGTTATCTTCAATGAAGAGTAAACAAAAAGGTGTTCAGAGCTCACACCTTGACAGGGAGAATGTGGAAATGAATAGAAACGAAGAAAAGGACAGATTGGTTCACCTCCCGTCTCTTTGTTTGTTTCATGCTTGAACATCTGACTCAGATTGCAGATTCAATTCATGCATTAACAATTAATCGATGCAAAATGCCTGAAATTTTATCACAAAACCTTCAATTGCGAAACGAAAAATTTCGGAAGTTCCGAATGATGTAAATTTAATATCAAGAAATTCTCGGAAAATGAACTTTTTCCTTTTTGAGGCTCGAAAGGATTTCCTCCTGCGTATCAAGTTTGAACACATGCGCAGAAATTTACATTTCAGTGGTTTCAAATGCGTAACTTCAACCTGACATTTTCAGTTTGAGGTAAACGAAAGCCTATTGTGACTTCAAAAACAGAAATCTTCAGGGAAATTCAATAATTCACAGTTGTCGAACAAAAATGCTTTCATTTGATGAACTCCAACTTACCATTCAATGCTCCGATATCCTTTCGCACAACAATGCAATGCTTTGAACTGACCATCAACGGCATACTCTTTGGTAACAGTTTCCTTAGTGAATTGCATGAAATTTGTGCCAAGTGATGTTGGAAATGTGTGGTTTGAGCAATAATTAATTGCATTCACTTCAAATATCATTCCAATCACATGGAGCATTAATGCTTTGATTAGTGTTGATATCGCTTTATCCATCACTCTGAATAATTGAAGCCGGTATTTCTTTTTTTTTCTTTTAAGGTATTTTAAGACTGAGTATAAAAATAAATAACTTCAAACATTCACTTTTTATCGTTGACAATATTTTTGACACTTAATTTGATAAAGCCTTCAAATTTTAATTAAACTGCAGGTGATATGAATAACTTTGTCAGTTTTTGTATAATTACTTTTTCTGCGAAATCTTTTGAAGCGAATCGCGTAAATTTGCAGTCACATTTCTATAGAAACGCTCGTTATATGATTTCAATCAAACTACGTACGTTTCCGAGAATTTTATTTCAAACATTTATACATGCTTCGCACTAAACAACACAACTGAATCGTTTCACAGCCAAATGGAAAATGAAGAAACAGCAAGAGCAGAGGTAGAAGAAAAAAAAAAGATTGACGTTGGAAATCTGTCTGTGAGAATCTTTCACAGAGAGGAGAGAGACGATATCTGTGTTTCAGCGTTCAATAAGATCTTTCCAAGCTTATGGAGAAGAAAAGATCGAAAGTGAGATTAAATTATTGTTCTTGATGTCGTTATACGAGATTAGTTAAACGTGTAAAAAATGAAATCATTGAGACGAAAAGAACAAAGAAAAATATTAATTGAGTTGTTAATCTCGGCTTTACACCAACTCAAGTCAGATTACCTTTCACAAAAATTCATTTCAAATTAATTCAGCTTATTTAAGACAATTTTAATGAATGTACATACAAACAAAAACATGTCATGTTGTAATGAGACAGCTGACGAAAAAAATAAAATTAAAGTTGATTGAATAAATTACACATAATTGAAGTATCTTTTCCAGTACGTTTGCTTCCCTTTTCGCTTTCGATGATACTTATTTACTATTTATCTTTCTCGACTTCATAATGTTGCGAATTATAAGCGCAATCAAAGGAACATTGTATATATTCTCGAATTAATCAATGTCTTCTTATTACGTTAATGATGAAGGTATTTCAAAAATATTGCGTGTGAATTATATGTGAAACATAAATATGTGATGTTAATTACCACTGCAGTAAACAACTGAAATATAAAATGAAACGACTACAAAATATTGAGTTACATATCGCGGTCAGTTGAGAATTCTTTATAAATTAAAAGAAATTAAATTTCTATCGTTTAATATCACATCAATCTTTTCCCAAAATATAAAACTTAGCCCAACTTTAATGACATAATTAAAATCAAATTTGAATATCAATTCCTTGCTAAGAGTGAAATTTAATATCTTTCAACTCTGAATATTAATATTATAATATTTTGGAGTTGTTGAATGAGAGAATTATTTAATCCCTCGTAGTGAATAAGCTGTGGTAGGCTCTCACCCGTCGTAGTTGAGTTTGATTAACATACAAAACAAATTTCCGAGAACTGTTGACACCAGCAAAACAAACGTCGTCAGTAATTTCACTTCATTCGAAGTGACCGTAACAATAACCGTCTCTGCTTCGTGTGCAACAGCTGTGAAATAACTGACAGACGGATGAAAACTCTGCATGATTCGGGGAATTCATGAACATAAGCGAGGCCTTTTCCCCTCTCCAATTGGATTTCTTGGAATTTTATGAGGCATTTTTGAGTTGCAAATCCCTCTGAGCTGTCTTTGTAATTGAATAATGAAAGTACTTTCGAGCAGCTGTAAAATTTAAACCAATGCATGTTATAAAATAAAAGAGCAGTTTTCACATTGACATATTTATTTAATTTTATTTTATTTATCAATTTCTATATTGTATCACAGCCGAAAAAGACTTTACATTTACAAATTGTCAGTTCATACTGATTCGATCATGATGCGAGTGTCATCTCGTGACTGCCGCTTTTGCGGTGAAACTTTCTTCAGCTTTAACACAGTTGTGGGTTCATCAAAATTCTTAACTTTCATATTGAGGAACTCATGCTCGGTAGATTTGAAACTGATAAAATATTTCGACAAGAACTGTCGTGAGCGAAGAAATAGAAAAAACCCAATGAGTGTGATGACAAACGCGCAAGACGCCAACAAGTATGGATTTAAAAAGATGAAATTGTTAGTTTCAATTGGAAGTGCATTTATGAGTTCCGCTGACATTTCTAATCGATGGGTTTGCGAATTTCCCATTTCAACACGACACAAATATCGTCCAAAGTGACTTGAAGTGACCTCAGAAATCGTTAAATATGATCCAATAATTTCTTCTTCTTCGCGTTTCACGACCTCTTGTTGATTATCATTAATCACATCATCTTGATTTCCATCCGACATGTGATACCATTTAATACTGATGGAGATGTCTGGCAAATCTTTTTTTCCTACGAAAGCTTCACAGAAGAATCGAGCGGATCCTCCGATGTCAGCAAATTGATTTTGAGGTGTAAAAGTTGCGAGTGGAACGTCTGGTGAAGATTCTGTAAATAAAAGTCGAATAAATTAATCAAGAATTGTGTCAAGTTAATAACGAAGAAATGATTATCAAATTATTGTGTTGATGATCAAAAAAGCAATCAATCCATGAGATGCGAACTTACCTAATACTTTCAGGACAATTTGATGCTCAATCTTGTGTGTGTCATTCCTCAACACACATGTGTATCGTCCCTCGTCAGTTTTTGATGCACGACGAGCATAAATAGTTTGATTTGCTGCTTGTGGATAAAGTATTAGAGATGAGGTAGACTCTGACGACCATGGATAACTTTTTCCATCTTTCAACCTTTAATATAAAAAAATTGGAAACATATGAAAATCTTTCTCATTCAACTTTAATCGAAAACAAGAGAATGGCTCGAAGATAATATTAAGATCTCAGTGTTGATTGTTTATTTGTCTACATTAAGAGTAATTTCTCAAATTCTAAAAGTATCTGGAAATGAAAGGTCAAGAAAACAATTCGAATGAAATAATTGAGCATTCCAAGATAACTCTGACGTTGTTGTCAAGGCATTTGACATTGTCTATGAATACATTTTAATAGAACTTGAGTTATTTACGAAATTTGACATTTGAGGTTCTTTTCCGTGTTTTAAGTTATGTTCAGATTTCTTAAGTCGTCTTTGAAGAATAGAGCTTTCTATGGAATCTTGGTTGAAAATGTTTTGAAGAACTTTTAGAGCTTCAATAAAATAAATAAGCAAAAAATGTTTCTGCCGACAATTTCAGCTTTTGAGTCAAACTAAAAATTTATCGTTTACCGTCATCTGAAGCTTGTTGACAACACAATGAGCACAAGGGAAGCAAGAACAGCCGTGTAAAGAGGAATGTGGGGAATTGAAGACATGATTTCATTTAAACGTCGTCGTGGCTGACACTGAAGTCGTTTTTCGTTATGATTTGATAATTTAGTCATAAAGCGACCGAGGCATGTTGCGATTCCAAGAACATTTTCATAGACTCTGAGATCACCCATAAAGTTCTTAAGTATATAACTTTCGAAGAGAAAAGAATCTAAAAAGAAGACACAAGAATATCCAAAAGTGATAACAATCACATAAAAAATTCTTTTCGACTCTTTTCCTCTCTTCATTCTTAAGTCTCAAACTCAACAGGGACGAGAAGAATCAAATGAGCATTGCTGAGTCGGTGAAGAACAGAAAGAAACGACACAAAAGATTTCTCGGGAAAAGTTTAAGGAGAAGAAAAGCAAAGTAAGAGATGAAGAGCAAGAAGAAGCAGATTCGTTTGAATCATGTTGAACCATGCGGGGTTTCGAAAACAACTGAAATTATAGGAAATTGTTGCAAAACATTCATAAATAGAAATTTCTTCATCAATANGGGGACGTCTGGTGAAGATTCTGTAAATAAAAGTCGAATAAATTAATCAAGAATTGTGTCAAGTTAATAACGAAGAAATGATTATCAAATTATTGTGTTGATAATCAAAAAAGCAATCAATCCATGAGATGCGAACTTACCTAATACTTTCAGGACAATTTGATGCTCAATCTTGTGTGTGTCATTCCTCAACACACATGTGTATCGTCCCTCGTCAGTTTTTGATGCACGACGAGCATAAATAGTTTGATTTGCTGCTTGTGGATAAAGTATTAGAGATGAGGTAGACTCTGACGACCATGGATAACTTTTTCCATCTTTCAACCTTTAATATAAAAAAATTGGAAACATATGAAAATCTTTCCTGACAGCTGTACTTATAATTAACAAAATTTGTTGAAAGAAATTCAGCAAATAAATTTAAGTAGGTCGTGATTCAATGAATAAATAAAGATATTTGTATCTATTTTAAAAGATAACATAAATAAACAAGGAAGTTGATATGCTTGTTGTTAATACATAAATATCATTTTACGAATAATGAAAGGTCATTGTGCAGACTTTAAAAGATCATATTTGTGTATGTTTAGGTTTGTGTAGGAAACGTTTCTATTATAAGTAACGATATGAATTAGTGTCATTTCATAATTCGATCTCTTAATTAACATCAATTCAAATAAAATAAATTTAATATTTTATCACTGAATATTTAGAGCAAAAACTTAATTAACAAAATAAATTATTGAAAAAATATTTCTTTTCATCAAGATTCAAGGAATGCTCATAAATTATTCATAAAAATATTTTTAACATCCTCAGACAAGTTTCCACTTAAACGACTGCAAATTGGAAAAAGAAGAAAAAAGTGAAAAATGTTGTCCAAAAATGAAATTTAATCTAGTCGCGAAAATCTTAGAAAAGAATATTAAAAAGAGCAACACAAAAGAAGGCTAAAGCAGCAGAATAAACGCAAAACCTTAAAAAGAAGAAAACAAAAATTCTCGGAAGATATTTTTTTCTGTTCTTTCGGATTGAAGAAATTTCATGTGAAATGGAACAAGAAGATTCTGGTAAGAATTCATCTGAAAAGGAATCAACAAAAGGGTCTTTGGGTGAACAAAGAATCATCCGAACAATATGATGTCGATGGTGATGAAACTTTTTATTCAAAGTAAAAGAATATGAACAGCAATTTTTTAGATCATGAAAACGGAAATATTTTACTTATGTTTTGTCTTGTTCAAGCATGTTCGGACTTTACCAAAATCTATCATGACTCATGGTATAGAAAACTAATTCACTGACTAACTGAAAAGTTTTCTTCATCTCAGGTTGGTGAATAAACATGAAGAAATGAATAACTCGACATCCAATAACTCTCTTAACAGTAAATCATTATCAATAAGAAACTAATACAGTATGCGGATGAGAATGAAGAAGTAAATATTCTCAAATTGCACGAAACAATTACTTTTTTTTATCGGGAAACCATAAAATATCTAAGACGATTGAAAAAATTGATTGCAGTTATAAAAATAAAGAAAATATTGTGAAGCAAAAATTACAATAATTTTCTCGGAAATCTTGCAATTTTCGTAACGTAGATTAATGTGCAAGAGTCATATAATCAAGAATAAAATTTTGCTTGCCCTGAAGTCAAATCATAAATCACGATCGACTCCATTACAACTTTTCAGAGTTTAATTTCAAAGTCTTAAGTTTTCGATTTATCGTTAAGTCTCGCAAAAAAATTTAATCGAATTTCACTCACATCAAGAGCAGGAAGATTGTTGTGAAAGGCAAAAAGGTTTCCGGTGTTGGCATATTTCTTCTCAATTTCATGTTATGTGGTAAAGGAATATTAAAGTTTTAATGAATATTTCACACCTTGTCTCTTCACACATCGATAAACTGAAGCAGTTCTAAGAACTGAAGTAATGCATGAAAGAAAGACAACTTGTGGGTCTTCTGACACTGACAAAGCACTCACTGTCAGATTTATTTTTAAGTTTATGTCCATAAAATAAAATTTAATACAAGTATGCAGACACTTGGCAACCTTAAACGGGCCTACCTTCAACAAATTTCACGCTTACGTCGTTAATTTTTCAAGTAAATTGTCTAATGACATCATCAATTTGTATTGTACGCAATGTTTAAAGATTTTCCCTTTTAATTATCATTCTCACATCTTTCATGACGTTGGCGCTGATTCAAGAAAATCAAACAGATCAAGCTTATTATCTTCATGAAGGCGAAAAAAATTCAATGAGATTTAGTTAGCATAAAAAAATAACGAACATTTCTAGGAAAAGCAATAAAATGAAAATAATGTTTTCATAGAAAATTCTATTTTAAATCAAGTAGAGACATGACTTTCCGAGAAAAAGAAAAGTTCCAAAGCATCTTTCTTTTTGCGTGTCATCAAACATTACAAACTAATTAAAATATGTCAGTTTTGTTCTTCGTTAAGCGTTATTTTTGGCGAAATGGAAAAATGTGTCAAAATGAATCACTTAAATCGCGTGTTTAAACCTTTGCCACAAGATTTTAAAAATAAATCCGATTAGTCATATTTCGAAACTGTTGATAAGAAGATTAAAGTTTTATCATTTTTTAATTAAGCGTTTGCAATGAATGATGAAATTGAAGGTTCTCGATTGTTTTTTATGGTGTACGTAATGTGTTGACGCCACTTAATTCAGTTTTTTGAACATTCTAAATATTTACTCAGGAAAAGATGTTTAAAAACAAAAATAAACCAACTGAAATACGACAGAAAATTCCTCACAGTCATCACCAAATAAGATTTTTCACACTTTCGTCGTTTATTTAAGTTTAAATGATGTGAAACCTTTCTTATGAGCGACTCTACATGTGTTAAGTGGATCAGTTTTCCACAACATTGAAAGTAAACAAAAAACAGAACATGAGAATGATTCCGAACTTTGAACTGTAAGGCAAGCTTTTCATTTTCAAACAGTTAGGTAATTAAGCTTCTCTACGAGTTGCGCTTTGAATTTCACGGTCCCTGACTATAAGCACAGATTTAAAACAAATACTTTTGCTATGTGAACATATTTGAATGTCATGATTATATTGACTTACATTATTCATAAATAAATTTGTGTTTAAAATCAATACTAATTCAAAATTGTCATTTGTAACAAAAACATTGCAAATTCTTATTTATTTTCGCGTATTTTTTATGTTTATTCAAAGAAAATTTTTATAATTTAAAAGAAGAAAAGAAGCTTATTTGTTTCGTCACCAATGGCAAAGCGACGAAACTGTTTCAAATTAGCACTACGAGAAATTTTCCGAGAAAATTTTTTTGAATAACATTTTTTTATTCATAAGGAATATTTTCGTTTGCTTCCAAGAAGCTGTCTCCGTAGCTTACACTTTATAATATTGTCCTGCGCAGTTTACGTTATGATCAGGATTGTGAGAAATTTCCTCAAATTTTCCCACATTTTCACCCACTTTTCTCAGATTTCATTGTGCAAGTGAAGATTGTTTGTGTTCAAGAAGTTTTTTTTTGCCTCATTTCCTTTTTCGGGGAAAATTTTTCTTTCTTAAGAAATATTTTTGTTTAGTTCCAAGAAACTGTGTCGGCAGCGTTAGATTTTATAATGAGATCCTGCGCAGTTTACGTCTCGATCAGGATTGTGAGAAATTTCTTCAAATTTTCACCCACTTTTCTCAGATTTTAATGTGCAAGTGAAGATTTTTTTGTGTTCAAGAAGATTTTTTTTCTTCTTATTTTCTTTTTCTGGGAAATTTTTTCTTCAATACTTTTAATGTTATTGCCAATTGACATATTAAATATTCGTTATTATTCTACTGAATTCTCATTCTAAAACCCTCTAATAGAAGATTAAACTTTTACAATACCTTCACAAAGTAGATAAGACATTTACGCAATGATTCAACTTTCTCGCCTGAGTTGAAAGAATAATTTCAACGATTACCTTGATATTGTCACTAAAACATTTTTTGTGAAACAAAAAGCAAAGCTAGATAGAAAATACCGATGAATCATTTTACCGCGTACTTGATAAGTTCCGGGAAAGATTGCGCACGTAATAATTCGTATATGAACATGTTCATTGTTAATTTTAGATTTCGCAATAGAAATGAAATATTTAATAAGCACTTACCACTCAATGCTTCGATAACCCTTTGCACAACAATGAAGATTTTTGAACTCTCCTTCAATTGCATATTCTTCATTTACAAACTCCTTTGTAAATTGCATGTATGATGTATTAAAAGTCTTAGCAAATATTCGATCTTTACAATGATCACTGTTTGCATTAACTGTAGATAAATTTGATGATGCTAAGATACATAGGAACATCAACAGTCCACTAATGAGATCATTATTTAAAAAATGTGCTTTTGGCGACTTCATGTCTCTATTTGAATTAATTCTTGGCTTTTGTTTTTCCATTTATTTTCTTTTGATCTTTACAAACTTGCAAATTAATTTGTTAACGCTTTCACTAATGTCACTTTTGCTGACCTCAAAACCACCACGAAAGTTTCTAAGAATTTCTTTATATTATTTCATTTAAATTCCACGCAATGGATAATTCCTTTGAAATGACTAATGACACACAATTATGAAACAGTTATTTGATTGAATGACGCAAATCTTTTCAAAATTTTGCGAAAATAATGAAGTTCATTATTTAATACCTTCTACGTCAGTCTATAAAACTTATCACAAATGCTTATCATGAAATGTGAATGTCACGAGACTTTAAAATTCTGCCTTTAAATATTAATTCGAGTGGAGCTTTAAACTTTAACAACTTAACTTGTGTAATGCTGACTGTTGAATGAACACAATGATTCAAGTAAAAATATTGTTCACAAAATAAATGACGAAGAGAATTTGCTCGCTTTGACTGGAAATGAGCGAGAATGTCTGAGAGAAATATGTGGAAAAATTAAACCGGTTTCTCTCCCAACATTAATATTTTACTGCCGGTAACTAAACTATATGAGCTCATGGACATGGATTATTATTACTCATATCTTAAGTTTGCACACTTTAAAAAAATGTATTTGGAAACTGTTTAAAGAATTGTTTCTTAGAAAATACATAAAAGAACGATTGAAAGTAAGCAGCAAATATTTTCGTTTGTTTTCGCTACTTTTTCTCTTCAATGTTCAAGGATTATCTTTCTTTGGTTGCATTCTTCACAGGTGTTAAAATTAAACTGCAAAAATCTTTTCTGCTTAGTTAGATTGCTTCTATGCAAAACGGCCTTAAATGGTTTAATATTTTATTTATGTTTTCTTAGGATTGAGAAGAAGTGTCAGAGTAGGCATTACAGAAATCCTTGAAACTACTTCTACATCTTCGCATGTTGTTACAAAAGCAATTTGGAGAATCATAAATTCGGGAAAATTCGAGTTTTATGATCACAAGAAAAGGACAATTGACGGGATCTTCCATGATTCTCAGGTAGGCAGGCGTATAAGCAAGCACAACGAATGAATGAAACTCTCACATTGAGATGTTAGGGATTAGATTGCTTCATAGATTTTATTGAGGAACAGCTTTGAAATATGAATTTATTTTTACGCATCCGTTGTATTTGCTCAATCATCACTATCGTCGAAGATTGTTGAAAAATTGATTCCTCAGAGAATTGTTGTTAATGAGAACTCCAATTTTGTTCTCCTTCCCTTTTTTTTATAATTTTTGCGAATTCTGTTTTAGTTCGACGGTTCTGTGAACGATACATCATCATCTTGATTTGGTTGCAAAACTTATTTATTTCCATTTTTTTTTTTGGTAAAACCACAAACCAAAAACCGTCGAGTTTTCAGTAAATTGATTTCATCGGAATTTTTATTTTCTCCCTTTTTTGCATTTTTTCTGAATGAGAGTTTTATACAGACTCGTTCTTATAGCGTGCTTAACATGCATTTTATCTATTCGTTGCTATCTTTACTCTTTCCGCCAATTATTATTTAAAATCAGTTTTTATACCACATCCACAAACAACTCTTCAATGGGCTCCGTGAAATATTATAATAAAGAAATAAATAAAATGATCAACTACAACACATTATTCTTGCCTTTCCATGAGTCTCAAGAGGCTTTTGTGAACAACAGAAAGAAAGAAATTGATAATAACAATTGATGGAACAAAAGCCAACTTCCCAGAAAAACTGCTTGGGCATAACAAGAAAGAATACCGAAGGGAGAAGATCTCCCTTTTGAAAACAAAAGAAGACTCGAATATTTTAGTTTAACTTTAAGGGTTTACAGAGAATTTTGTTTCAAACGTGTGAATTTTTGTCATTCTCTTGACTTATCATTGATGCAAAAAAAATCATCAATTATGGTCTTCCCATGTGAACATTATACAAGCAACTTTAACAACAAATAATTAAAAAATTAATTTCATTTATGTTTTTAATTATGTTGCTTTTCTGATCTTAAGAAAGTTCTTTGAAAATGTGTTTATTAAATTCTCAGCTAATTTGATCAACATTTCGCTTTTATTCGAAATTTAATATTTTAGTAATGGTAAGTAGAAAAGTCTGAAAGCAAACTTTTGATACTTTCATGTTATCCATATCATGTAAACGATCTGATCTGATTACTAAAACTTCGTGATTAAAAAGTCAAACTGCTCTGATTGAAATGGATATTGTGAATATTGTGTGAATATAGTGTTTTCAAAGGCTTGATTGTTGGCAAATGAATATCATACAACAACATAATGTCTATAAATGGTATAATTATTACGATTCGTTAACATTAATATGCGTGAACAGTATAATGATGACTAAGAATGGTACAATTCATAATATCCATGCATTTTGGGAAATAATGAGTTAATTAGCAACATATCCTTATGGAGATCAATTATTTTAGAATCTTCTGCTTAAAGATTTGATTTGCAAAATTCATTAATGAATGAAAGAGAAAGAAGAACAAAAAAAAGAGAGTGAGATGCTGTCACAAGAGAGCGAAATAAATGTTCAGTGTAATAATGTGTTAAATCCAGAAGTCTACGTTTTGTATTGAAAAAGTGAAAGACAAAAAATGATGAATTTCTGATATAAGTGAAACTACAATAAATTTCTTATTTACTAGCTTATGTATTTAAAAGATTTCAAAAAAATAATTTATTATAAAATATGCTAGAATTGCTTGCCTACCCCATAATTTTGTTAAACAATTTGCTTGACTTATCTGAGATATCTAATCAAATCTATGGTAGGTAACTTAAATGCATATTTATGTCAAACTTGCTTGAAAAACGCTTGCTGAAAAAAACATTCCTCAACTATCGACCATATATTACAAAGAGTGAATAATTTACTTCTAAGAATGAAATAATTTGCAGTCATGTTGATGAAGGAAATTGCACGACCGACAATTCTATTAAGGACGGTTACTATGTATGTAATTCAAAATGTTGACAAAGGCACAAACTTCCACACAATTGTCACTTTTTTATTGTTTCCGTTAAGACGTTCGGTCATTAAACTTTTATGATCATATCGAGCACATGTTAGGACGGAAGAAAGAAGGAGGTGCAAAATGGGAGAGCGCAGTAAATTGGAATGTTGGCATGCTTTGTGCCATTCGTGTGTTGAGTACACGATTATTTTTAGTTTTATAGTTGTTTGTGATTGGAATATTTTATCGATAGAATTGCAAATTCTTATGATAGTTAATACGCGTTATTGAAGAATAAAATGAAAAACAAAACAAAAAAATAATAATGTAATAAATTGAATAATAATTTTGATTTTATTCGTGATTTATTGTGGATGCTATTAGTTACCAACTTCAGAAGATAGAAGCACTTTTTATGAACATGTACGAGGATTAACAACAAAGCAACGACGTGGAGGAGGATTTTGAGTTCTGTCAGCCATTAAATTAACCAAGCTCACCAATGTATGTTGATTGAGAAAACGATTTATTCCGGGGATAAGAGTTGTACGAAGAGCTTCATTGATTTCAGCTTGTCTTTCGTTGACGAGTTGAGGTGCTGCAGCTGAAATCATCCGACTAACAGCACCGTCTAAAGCTCCAAATCCAGTAAGACTAGTGTCAACTGTTGATACAAGTGTCGTTGAAACAAGTTGGTCCAAGTTTAGGTTGCCATTTGGCATTGTTCTCATTTGCCCAACTGAAGTCACTCGAACATTATTCATTCCCATGACTACAGATCCTTCACCAGAAATTGGAATTGTCACTCCACCATTGACCATGTTGGCGAATGTTCGATGTCTGCCAACGATATTCAATCTAGGCATTGTTAAACTAAATCTTAAAATCAATCCAGTAACTTGTAAATCAAAGTCGTTGAAACACATGTTATGTTGCCCAGTCATATCAGCATTTGTCATACGAAAATCAACACTGAAAATCAAAGTATATGAGATAAAGAAAAATAAATAAAATGTATTTGAGATCAGATAACAAAAATTCCTCACCCAGTAAATTCTGATGCTGAATCTATCACAAAGCTAAGTTCATCGATACGATAAGGTTCAATTGGAGCCATTTGTGAATCTGGCCATCCTAAGTACACAAAACTTTTCCATTTAACTTTTCATTTTGTTTTTCTTTAATAATCACTAAACTTACCACATGGAAAGTTCACCTTAAATATAATTGAAATTATTGAAGTATTAAAAAGTTTCCATTATAACACTTCAAGTAATAATCTTACCCTTTCGTTATGTATAAAGTTCATGAAATGTTGATTGATTGTAGTTGGTGGATCATTGCGAGCTTTAAAAGTTGAAAATTGATAAACTTAAGTCTTTAATATGTTGCAGATATGAGTAAGCGTTTAAAACTGTATAAATATGGAGAAACTCGACTTCCGCTTTAACACCTGAACTGACCAGGGAAATAATGACTATAACACAAAAAGGATAGACAAATAAGGACCCGACACCAACTTTTAACTTAAAATACAACCCCGAAAAGGATGAAATGTTCAAACCAATTCTGTCAGTTTACAGAGAAGTTTTCCGAATAAAACGAAAGTATTAAAGTTAAATAAACAGAGGAAAACCAATTAAATTAATTCACTAATTAAAAATAAATATTGGAAAAATTTATCTCTTTTTCGATGTTACTTGTATCACGATGGAAATTGACAGGGAAAAGCGGCATGACATTAAAATGGAAAAAAAGAAAGTCAATTTAAATAAAATTTCTATTTACGATTTGCCATCAGCAATTCAGCAGAAGCGACCCAAATTATTCCTGACAGTAAAAAAACTTCAATGATTTTCATCATCGTTATATGTATATCTACTATTGTTGTATTAATTAAAAATAATTCACAGGAAAAGGTTGACAACCGAACGAACAGTAAAACCAAAACTGAATTAAACCTGCACAACAATCAGGTCGCTTTTATATAAAAACTCAGGAGGGTTTAGACAGTTATCAATAAAGCTCCAACTGACACGTACAATAAACTGATTGCTTTTATCTTAAGCACTTTAAATATTTTTAAACTTTGCCAACTTAAATCAAGATTGTGCGTCGTGATAAAGTTTTAAGTTGTAAATTGAATTTTATAGAATCCAGGGATGTCATTTTAAAACAAACATAATAACATAAACATCAGAGAAGGCATAATAATTTTTGATATTTCAACACTCAATTAGTAAGCATAATATTTTGAGAGTCATGTATTTATTCACGTTTATTACAGAAATTTCATGGATTATCAATTCAATTTTGGCGATTCTCCTTCTCAAACCGTACACCAGCTGCAGACAGAGGGGAAAATTTATTTACCACTCATTATTTATCAACTTCAATAAACACAGAATTGAGTGTATCAGATGATTGAGCACATTTATCGGATGGATGGGAAACGAATTTCAGCGAACAGTAAGTTGCTAGAAGCTGATAAACTTTGCTTATGTAACAAAGTCAAAAGTTATTTAGTGCAAAATTCAGAATCATAAATAACAAGATAAAAATCTTTATAATGCTTGCTTCAAGTGGTGCGCACTTATAAATGTCAAAAGGTTTCAAGAACCGTGCACATATCTTTGAAATAATTTGAAAGATAAAAGAGCTAAAGCGTTTCTTCTAAGTTGTTTTTGTAATTTATTTAAAAACATTAATATCGACGATACTTATCGTAACCAAACAATGAAAAAAAAAATGCGATTCACTGTAAACATCAATATGAAGTCATGCAAGTCATGGCTTCTTTCTTAGTGTATGAAACTGACATATTTAAAAGACAACTAAATTAAATATTCTTAAAAGAGAAAGATTATAAATGTCATTAACAAAAAAATGATCTTTTATCACTTCCACAAGAGAAAACTGTACAAATAATTTTGCAAATTTGAGTTTCCTTTTCGTCACGACTTTTGATGAGTGTTGGGAAGGAATAAAATTTATCATTGAAAAGTTTGTTGATAACACGTTGCTCTTTTGGATATTTAATTGGATTTTGTTTTAAATATTTAACTTTAGCTTCATCATCAACTTCTTCCAAGTACATGTTATCATCCTTTGCATATTCATATGGATATCTCGGCTCCATTGGTGATGGTTCTTGAACAATAGCAAACGTTGTCAAGATTCTATTGACGCGTGGAATAACAATTTTATTAATAGCATAGTTAAATAATTTCTGATTCATTTCGAATATTTGAGGCGTTGCTACTTCAATCAATCGATTCAGCATTTTGTTTATCTTTTCTGTTGTCCACATCGAATTGCTGTATAAGCCTGTTATGTTCGACTGTAAACAGAGCGCCCCAAATGTTATTCGTTATTCAATTAGTCATTAAAGGCATTCAAAGCGTTCAAATATGTACCTTAAATTTATTCATGCTTGATGTCGCAGTAAAATTTGTGATTTGCATTCGTAGATTTTTGAACGAAACGTGGGCGAGAATGTTTGTTGTTAGATCTGTGAAAAAAAGTCTCGTTATCAAAAGTTTATTTTAATGCCATCAACACTGTTTACTGTAAACATTAAAATTGTAATTTCCACTTCCGTTTATTGGAATATATTTGATGAAACTTCCGATACCAGAGTAGCTTCCAAGCGACTTCAGATTAGGAAAAGTCACCGAAAAATTCATAGATCTGTCACTTATATTATAATTCAAGTAATTCATACGAAAGCGATCAATTCCATCGATAAAAGGATTTTTTAAAGTTGTTTTGAATCTAAAATAAATAAGCTACTGTGAGGGAATGTTTTTCATTAAAAAGTTTTAAAGCTTTTACCGTAGAAATGATAAGTTGACAGAATTAATTCGATCTTTTAATTTCAGAGGAGACAACGGTGGTATCCCAATCAAAGGAAATCCATACCGCATTCTACCTTGGACCTTTTCCAAATTCATCGAGAAGAAAAGAGAACAAAAAAGAAATATTTTACTTGAGCTTTTGGCAATGAGCTTTCCAGAGCTTTGAAAGCTTTTGATGGCCTTTAATTTTTTATCACATTTTATCATTCGTTCACGTCCCTGGTCAATCGCTTACCTTTTCAATAATTTGTTCAACTGCAAACGTTCCCAAAGCTCCTTTGCCAACTGTTTATTAGAAAGAAAAGGAAAAAGGAAAAAGCTATAAATCCTGGTAATTCCTCTTGAGAATGTCTACGGATGTGGAATTATGATGATACACAAGCACACTATTTACTTTTTTTATGTCCGAAACGCTTACAACCTGAATTCGATATATCTTTATTTACTCACCGTTTGAATGGCATTCAGGAAGTTTTGAAAGGCATATCGAACCTAAGCAAAGTATCGAGAACACGCTAGGGAAATTCATTGTGTTGCCGAAAAAAAAAAAACAAATAAAGAAAGAATGAGTTTTCTTCTGACACTTCACACGACGCTGATGAAGAGCTTTCACCAGAGATTTATTTATGCAAAGTGCAAACACTTATTGAGAGCTTTTGTAATCTATTTCCAAGTATTTATACGCAAACTTGGATGTAATAATCTCACCAACTTCAAGTTTTTCTCTCATTTTCGTAGTCTTCGTTGTTTAGCTATCAGATAATTTCAACTCATGCTTGTAAGTGGTTTAATAAAATGTGCAACTGAAAACATAAAGTGAAACTCAAATGTTCTTTTAAGTAGCACATGAAGATCTAAGTTTTAAGATATCTTTTTGATGAGATTCTTTAATAAATTCTAAATAAGTTTCACAGCTGAATATTTAACCCATTAATGGTTATCAACTTATTCTGCCCTTTTCCAACATCGATTTTATTTTCTGTTCTATTCATATAAGCTTGAACAGAACATTGAACATTTCTTTCCAACTGCAATGAAGAATTTGCATGATTAAGAGCTGTAAATTAAAGAAACAATTTATTTTTCTTTTGCTAATATTCTATTTCATCGCGATACAAAAGTGCTTACTTAATAAGTTATGCTTTACGAGTTCAGGGCCTTTCACCAAACGGGTCAAATTCTCTTCGTGTTACAATTTTGCATTGTGCTGATGATTTTGAAAGTTCACAGATAGCATTTCCACCGTTACTTAAACTTTCGGAAAATATTTATTATACTTATAAACAAAAACGATTTCATTAAGAATTGTTATTGTTACATGTGATTATTCATTTAAATAATAATAAAAGTCTTTACCTGTTAACAAACCTGTTTCTCTTCAAAGAGAAATTCTTTTTCATCACTTACAATTTAGGTAATAATTTTTCTTTTATCGGATCAAAATCTGACCATTGATTATATCTTTCATAATATATCTTTCAAAACGAATTGATTGCTGATCTAAAGACTTGAAATTTCCAAGAAACGCTTCGAGCTTTCAGGCTTTCACATCGTTCGAAAGCGAGTACTTTAATTTAACTAAAGTTATGGAATGAAAGTGTTTTATTTTCGTAACGAGAAAGTTAACAATAACAAATCCTAATTTCATTTAAAGCGTCCCCAATGAACAATACAAACATCTGCTGATGTGTTCATCGAAGAAAAAAGCTAAACAAATAAAACTCCAAAATAGATAAATACATAATGCGAAAACCATCGGGATGAGGCCAAAAACCAAAAGAAGATATGTAGGTTGTAATGTATAGACCTAATTTCAAATACCAACGGAATTGCGACGTCATCATTTTAACTATTTTCCTTTACCCCTTAAAGTTTCTTCCAGAACGAATGTAATAAAAATTCTTTACTGTGATGTTTCCCCAGTGCATTCTCATCTCCCCACTAGCCATGCGCAGAACAAAGTAGCAGATTTTGGTATCGATAGTCTATCAGAGCGGTAGTGAAAAAAGAGTTTTTAATTTCTTGCTGTGTCGTTGATAAAGATAGTCGCTTATAAGTTCAGCAAAAACTTTGAAAGGGCAGAAGCTTTCAAAGCTTCTTTAACCAAATATTTTCAAGTGATCATTAGTGAAGGTTGTAGAAATTCAATCATCAAATCAAGAAATCAATTTTTTCAGACGATAAAATAAGAAGACAAGACAGAAATCTCACACTTTTAAGACGAGAACAAAAAAAAAGAAGAAGAAAAATCTCATGCTTCATCATTTCGAAGATTTTCTTTTTCGAAAATTCTATAGAGAGAGAAAATTATCTGAAAAGTTCGTACCTTAAATGTGTGTGTGTTTGTGAAGAGCGTACCGACAGTGAAACTTTCTTCCTTTTTCTCTCGTTCTTCTCGAGACGACAGAAAATTTTCATTTTCGACAGTTTAGTGGAGAAATTCTTATGCACTTGTCGTGTACCCGCATAGCTGTGTCCCGTTAAGTCATAAGACGGTTAAAGTTTAAAGGGAAAGAATTTTTTTCTGTGCAGTGAATGAATGAAATGATTCAATAATTAAGCACTTATAAACTCAAGTGATCTTCCGTGTCTCTTAAAACAAGAATTGTAATAAAAAAGATATGCAAAAGAGACTTTAAAGCTTTCAACTTTGAGTGATATGAAGTGAAGTAGAAATAAAGAGCAGAAAGAAAAACAGAAAAAGAAACTTTAATCGAAGTGAAATATCAGAGAAAAAAGTTCAGAAAAAAAATATAATTATAGAAACAAATTACGGTCTTTAATGAGAAAATTAATAAGGAAAGCATAATTTTTCATTAATTAAGAATATAAAAGCGAGAAGTAAGATAAGGATAATTGTGTAGAAAATTTTTCCGATGAAATTGCTCTAGAGTTAAAAATAAAATCAATCAATTCAGCTGTTATTGTAGCAATTATTTATGTGTTAGAGTCTTCAACTTCTTAACTTCATTTACATTGATTAAAGTGAGTACATTTTACCTTTTCGCTCTTAAAGGTTTTTTGAAACTTTATGAAATAATTTTCTTATTCTTTTATTTTATTTTTTGTGATTACAGCTGTGTTTAAAGAACACTAAACCATAGACAAAAAGTGTAACAAATAAAGTTCACTTGCAAACCTCCAATATGCTTTTGAATTTCTTTTCACAGTCTCCTTTAAGAAATCAGATATGAAAGGTTGAATTTATTAAGATCTCAATGATATACACAATTCTCCAGAGACCGAAGAAATTTGAAAGTATCTGCTTTCAAAATTTTATATCACACACAAAATGGCGGACAATATAACTTTATATTTTATTATACAATATTTCGGAGGGAGAATTTAAAACCATAAAATATCTTCTCGTTCCACAAAATTGTTTTGGAATTTTTTCATTCTTCTTGGGAAAGTTCTCATTAAAAGCTAAAGAATTTTATTGCGTTAAGCTTTGAAAGATGAGAGTAAAAAAGGAACGACGACGACGACGACAACGATAAGAAAAAATAAAAAGAAATATTTCGCCAGAGGATGAAGAGCAGTAGTAGCAGCAGAAGCAACGAAGAAGCACTTTGTATTCATGTTATTGATTTTATTATTTGGTATAAAAATAAATAGTGTGATCTGATACTTATCCTTCGTTTTCTTTTCTTTCCTTTTTTTCGGTTCCATTCTACAGAATGATACATTTTTTTAATGTTTCATTCGTTTCGTTTCGAGTTGGGATCACGATGTGGGTAATAACGTAATAACAATATCTTGTGTTTCTTATTCTTCCACTTTGCCTCTGCTCTTTACCATGGCCACACATTTTGTGTCTTCTGCCATTTCTCATGGGAGAATAGCTAAATCACATAACAATGTGCTCAGCCGACCTAAAATGTACATTTATATAAGAACACACATTTAAAATGGGAATAACAGAAATGAGGAAAAGAAATTATATTTCTATTTCTATGACATTTCATTGAATATGCAAACAACTAACTGAATGAAGAAATGAAACGACAGAAGCGATTTCTTCAATTTGTATTTGAAAAGAAGGAAAAAAAATTCATCGTTATATTCTAAATGATTCATGAAGTTGAAATATTTTTCAGATTCTCTGCTCAGAACTCCTGAGAAGATGATGCAATGCAGATAATTATTTTCATAAAAATTCAGATGCTTTTGATTACTTTTATTTTTGTCACGAAATGTTTCATAAAACTGGCTTAATAAGAATTTTTTTATCGATTTGAATATATTTCAACTAGCTGAAGGTACATCCTTGATATCGAAATAATTAAACTTTAATTGAAATATCAACTACAGAAATTTATTCTTCATATGATAGAGAAAAATAAACTTTAACAAAACAAACTTTTAAAATTAATTATTTTTTTATTATAAAAAGAGAATGAAGAAAAGTGACGAAGAGAAGTGACATGAACTTTTTTTTTATTATGATACTCGAGGTTAGAGGAAGTGACAGGAAATGACTTGATACTTTGCGGTGCTACGACAGAAAAAAAAATAATAAATTGATTTTCCTATTTCCATGTTTTCTCTATTTCCACTCTATTATCATTTTGGGAGGGTTGTTGTGGTAGGAGACCAAAGGGACAACTTTTTCCTACCTTTCCGACTTCACTTTTCTCGTATCCACATTTGACACAGATGTGGATAATGTTACATGAAGGCTTTAAATATTATTTTCGTATATATTTTGTGTTGTCGGTAGATAATGGATATTAACAAACTATTTTCCGTCTTTCCCCAAAACTCGGAAACAACACATAATCACCGAATTTTTCTTCCCCCACAAAATAGAAAATATAAAAGTTTTATTGCCCACATAATTTCAATCATTCTATCGATTTTATCATTTCTGTTGCGTATCTTATAAGCCTTGATTCTCATGTTAAAAGAAGAACCTTTCAGAACGTCGTGTGAAAACGAAAATTAAAAATTAATGTTAGGAAAAATAAATTTCAAAACCTGAATGTGTTTTATAGTTTTTCAAGACGTTAAAGCATTTTTCCTGTTTCTTTCATTACCGGACATTGTTCATGCATATTATGCAATGATGAAACTGAGGAAGTTCTTCTTCTACCGAAAACAGAGAAGTAGACAAACTCAAATTTGTATAATGAAAAAAAAAGTAATAAAAACGTTTAATTAAACAAGAAACATGTTGAGAAGGCTGAACGAGGTTTGTAAACGAGGGAAATTTTGAGAAAAGTACCTTTCTGTACACAGAAAATGGCTTTGCTTCCAATAATATTTTCTTTTCCCCCTCACCCACTTGCCATTATTTGCTTACTTTTCTCACCTGCAATGTTTTTTCTTCAGAGTTTAAGAAAATTTAATTAAAATTAATGTGAAAGATGGGGAACGGAATGAAGAAAGTGCCGTTGAAAAGTAATTTTAGGATCTTTTTGGAAATTTAAGATGAAGCTCAAGGTCACAATTTTGACCTACACTAATTTAACAAAATCTTTCATTAAAATTTTCTTTAGATGGTATTTCGTTCCCTCCAATGTGGTGTGATTAAATATTTGGTTTTATTCTCGTATCTACCTCTAAAAAGAAAGGTTTCATTGGAACCTTCGTGAATCATTCAACATGTCATATTTGTGATTATTCTTAGCATTTAATTATACACTGTTGGTTTTGCTTGCTCATGATTTATTTTGTTTTATCATTAAACTTCAAAATATAATTATATTTGAATATTTGTTCATATCATGCGTATGAGCGGGTTAGTACATACAAATATGAACAAGCGAATTCAAGTATTGTCATGTTAACGGATATAAAACTTGTCAACTCATATAAACATAACAAGTTGCATGTTCTTTTGAAAGTTTCGTGCTTTTTTAACAATCATACAAGTATAACGATTTATTAAAAAAAGAACAAAAAAAATACAATAAAATACTTTTACTTGCATTCATGGCAGAAAGTTAGTTGGAATTTTCATCTAACTCAAGTTTCAGTTTTCAACACATTTGACTTGTTATTGCATGTTCTAATCCCTACTTCCATTCCAATTTTCTTTCACATAAAAGTTTCGTAATAAAATTGAATAGATGAAGAAAACTTTTGTCCTAGTTTTTGAACTATCTTAAATATTCAAATCAATTTCTCTAGATTTCAATTTAATCTTACTATCTACATGCATATTATGATATTCATAGTTAAAAGGGATTTCAACAGTGAGGGTGATTGGAATATTTCTAAACTTTTTCTTCCACTTAATTAGGATTTTTAAACAAATGCTTTGAAAATGATTTCCCCATCCCATTTCATTATTTTCACAGAATTTGAACTTTCAAACCAACATTTAAAGTTTTTTTCACTGCTTCCGCTCAGTGAACACGAACTCACTCAATATCCGAAAAATTAATTTTTCTTTCATTAAAAAATTCTCTGGAAATGGCCGAAATAAAAATTATTCAAGAATGGTTGGACCACGTGAGTTGTGAGTGTGCTTTAAGCTCCTTTTTGAGCGGAAGCAAAAGCTTTTTGCATAATCATTACATTTCCCCTACTTATAATTTTACTTCAAGCACAAATACATTCTTCTGTTATCATAAAATTTATATGCAGTTATCTGAAATTTAATTCAAGTCATGAGAATGACCACATTTGTGTTAATTAAGCTTTGTTTTTCATATGGTTCAGTGAATAAAATGCTTTGAAATTTAAATTTCACAATGAAATCCGTCATGGATCTGTTTACAATGTAAATTCAAGGTAAAATGTTTAAATTCTACAATTGCAAACTTGTTGTCTTCACTGCTTTGACAGCAAGAGAGATAAGACAAGCACGCGAGATAATAAAAGAAAAATTCGAATTCCATGTTCAGTTTACTTAGAAAAAGTCTGTTCGTAGCTCCAAAAGATAAAATTTGGTACACTTTTGGCTTGTGGTTATTTTTCACATTCCTTCAACCTTCGAGAAGAAATATAAAAGTTAGTAGTGAAGGAAAAAGGAAATTGTTCAAGAAAACTATAATAATAAAAGTACAAACATGTGTGTATGAAGATGTCGAAGGCTTTGATAGTGTGCCTACTTTAGGATTTAAAATCTAATATAACACTCTTGAGCAGCAATTTGTATTCGTTCCATGTAGTCGGAGAAAATCGTCACAGCGAAAAAGGAAAAAGAAAAAACAGAATCGAAAGCATCTGACTGAACATTCAAATCGAAGCGAATACTTTTCCTCCGTTTCATCTGATTTTGGTTCAGTTTGCTTGTCAGTTTGTACTTTACTGTGCTTTCAGTCTTCTCATACTTATTGATGCGAATCTTTCCTTCCATTCTCGTCGTTGCCATTACTGAGGGACGCTCGTTTTTGCCAAAACGAAGCAATATTTGTTTGACGTCATAATTGCGACATCAATTCAGATGCTTTGCTTGCAGTCTTCCGCTTTCTCGAATCCATAAGTTTCCTTATCATGTTTCGAAGCTTTTCGCCAAAAAATAAGAAGAAGAAAAAAACATTCAAAATGATAGCGAAGGGAAACTCTTTTCTTCTCAAAATTCAATCGTCTAAAAAAGGAAAAACTTTGTAAACTAATCTGTAGATTTAAGAGAAAGAAAAGCACTCTTGATAGGAATGAATGGATCCCCAACATAACGCTTTTGTTGTGCGAAGGTTATTAAATGTTTTCAGCGAGATCACATAAATTTATTTTAATCTCTCGCCTCTCAAATACAGCTCTTAATGGCCAAAAAGAATTGACGTTCGAGCCATCCCTTTCTATGCGCACACATTGTGTCGTTGAAATGCGATAGAATGGCCTTTCTCGGCCATAAAAATTGAATAAAAGAAAGATTCTAAGCCTTTACACTCCCTCTCCATACTTAAAATATTTTATTTTCCAGTATTTTTGAGTTTTCATAAAATTCTTTACAATAATCCAGTCGACATTTTTAAAGATTTTTCGTTGAAAACAATTTAAATTAATTCTAAAGACTCTCAGGACTTTTATATATTTAATTATTAATTTTGAAGTCTTGTTTGAAAAAAAAAATGACAAATCTCTGATCAAATATTGTACAAGAGAGCTGATGAACTCCCAAAAGAATAAGAAAAATCAATTCCATGTTAAATGGCTTTCGTCGGAGCTTGAAAATGGAAATTTATTTAAAAGCGTTCACGAGAAAAGAACACAAACCCAGAAGTCGTATCGTAATGATTGACTTTTTGATAAGAAATCTTTTGAGGAATAAATAACTTTATTTATATTTTGAAAAAGACGGAGGAAAAAAACCTCAAAGAAAAGCAATGAGTTTGATTTTGTTTGCTTAAGCGTTGACAAGGGTTAAGTGCTTGACATTTTATCATTCCCTTCACTTTTCTTCTTCGGCTTATGCTCTCCCGTTCACGATGCTAAAATAATTATTTAGAAGATAGAAAAAGACAAACTTTTGATGCTAGAAATTGATTTCCTTTGCAACTCTCAGAATAAATAAATAAACGCAAAATACGGGCTGCAAATTGGGGAAGCTCAAGAATATTGTTGATTTTTGGTAAAGACCAAACTTTTGACATTTTGTATGAGAACAAGACAAAGAAAGAAGAATGAGAGCCACTATAATCACTAAATTATGTTCACCTGACAGCCTCTAAGCAATACCGAAAACAACAGCAAAGTTTCTGTATTAAAAACATCCGTTGGAGGGAAAACTTGAAAACTTAATTAAGTAGAAGCAGAAGCAACCAGAGACAATAACCTACGTCGAACGGCATTGTATGCTTTCTCCCATTCTCCTCTCTTCACGAGCATAAAAACAAATTTCATCTTTTCACGCACAAGTCTATAACATCACCAAGGTTGAAGCAGCAGTACTTTGCAGTCTTCTTTTCTATTCGTTGAGAAGAAGAAAGAAAAAGTTAAGCAGTTCCGATGCGGCTTGTGTTTTTGGTATATAAATTCACTAACAAGCAACACTAAATGACAAAACTTCAACTTCTTGTTGTCGTCTGTTTCTTTTTCTCATCTTTTCTCACCCAGCCATTGGCACATATCTGATGAATTAATGATAAAGGCAGAAAGCTGAACGAAGGATAATGTTATATCGCTGTCTCCTCCGATTATTAAATTCTACATCATCTCCGTATGTTGCTTTTTCTCTGGCTTATTTTCCACATTTTCTTTTGAATAACAATTGTCTTATTCCCCAATGTCGTTCAATGCGTCGTATTGTTGAAAAGAAAAAAACTCTGAAGGTTTCCGCTTCTTGCTTTTTAATTCCCATTTTATCATTCAACATGAAGATTGACTGTTTGTTTGACTTGGATTTGTGTTCGTAAATTGTATTGCTTTTTGAAAATTTAGATTCATTTAAAACTCAATTGTTTTCCATTTGATGCTTGTCTCAAATTACTCTAAATATCCAATATTAAACTGCTGCTTGGGTTTCAAAAGAAAACCTTCGTAAGCCATCATTAAAATTATCGTGGACATTATACAAAGCAGCTCACTCGAGAAAGGCATTTCTCAAGTTAATCTCATACTTTTCTTTTAATTAAGGAAATTGAAATAAAATTTTAAGTCCTTTGCACTATAAAAGTTTAAATTCATTTCATTTTTTTTTCATAAATGCAGTTCTCCATTGCCAGTTTGGATTTTATTGTTGACTATTTCGTATATGCTGACTGCTTACATCTACGTATGGATTTAATTTTTTAGATTCTTCAAACTAGGTTAAAACTATAAATCATATTGGAAGTGGTCGGTTCGTCTACACAGCATGTTTTCGAGTAAAACTATTGTGAATTGTTTTCATTTTTATGATTTCAATGCAGTTGTTTAATAGCAATTAAAATTATGTGCTTGTGGTTTTTCATGTGAAGATATCTAGCAGTAGCTCCAAAAATACTTTGCCATAACAACTTCTTGTTGTGTGTGCTTTCTTGTTTGTTACAAAGCTAGTAAATAACGGAAGCAAAACTTTTCCCCAATCTCCGATAACTCAACAAACTCTCGAACGCAAACTATTGTTTAAGTTTCCTTTCAAAACTGGATAACATTAACCTTTAGGGGTTTTCAGTGTTACCTTGATACTAAACTTCATTTTTCATATCCATTTCAAAGTTTATTGCTTGAACTAGAAAACTAGAGAATGTTTATCGATTTTCACGTCCATTTGTTCGTTGGGAGGGTACGCTAGAAATCATTGGATATGAATTTTTCATAGTCTGCTGTTGCAGTCAAATAAGAAGAACGCTTTTGTTGAAATAGGCCCACTTAAAAGCTTATATTCTGTTTCATTAATGGCTTTTCATTTAGTCGAAGAATTGCGTGTTGATTGTCAATCTTTCAGCTTTGAGCGTTCTAAGAAGCTAAATGGAGAACCACCGACGGCGGGTCGTTTAAAAGAGATGAAATATTTAATTTCCCATTGATAATTGAATCGCTAAATAGATGGGAAGGAGATGATAAGAAAAACAATAAAATAAAAGTTCCTTTCATTGGCTTTATCAGGAACAGTCGTCGTTTCTACACCATCTAATCTAGAAGTTATAAATTGAAGTGCCTTGGAAAAGGAAGCGAACGATACGAAAGATTAATTTATTATGCATACATAAACAAATCAATATTTCACTGAACTTCGGAAAATCTTCTTATTCCTTATGAAAAAAATATTAAATTTATTTTCGCAATGCTTAATTTAAATAAATGAGCAGCGAATGTCATAAATTTAACGGTAGAATCTTGTAAAATTATTTTTCCATTAGATTCCATTTGGAAAATTTATGCACAAGAACAATGGAAGTGGAAACTTTTTATTATTATATCTTTTTCTATCACTTGGAGGCTTATCATTTGTCTTGTGCTTTATCTTGCGTAAGATTTTTCTAAATTTATTGAATCTTAATTGTAGCACCTGATTATTTTGATAAAACAAATTACTTCATGACATTTTGATGTTATTTCTTTCCACTTCTGCTAAGAAATTTATGGATTGACATGCGCTTGAAATTCTTGTTGAGGTTGATGATGCTAATTATGAATAAATTCGCACGTTTCCATTCTGTTGCAATATCGTTCGGGAAATAGCACAAAATATGCTCAAAGGACTGGAGCACTCAAAGTGAAAGCTTTGAAAGAATACTGCCATGTTTTATTAAGTATTCAGATACAAGAGAAGGCAAAAAATATTTCAGATATTTTTTTTCTGTTTCGAGAGCACATAAAAAAGTTTTCCGGGATATTCCCTTAAAAAAATAAAAAAGAAAGGCAGCAGAAAAAGCGAACAGACTTGTATGTGAAAATTTTATGAAACAAAAAATCGATAAAAAGTTTATTATGAAAACGAGGGGATGAGAGTAAGAAGGGGGATGGGTAGCTGAAAAAAAAGTATACAGTTTTGTGCAGGAGTGGAAGAGAGTGAAATGACATATACATTTTTCAAAGCATGACTTGCGAAGCATTGTTCAGAATCAAGAGGATCCGAATGATTGCAAACAAAAACTGAAACAACTATATATGAGTGGATCTAAGTAGATATTTGCTTTATTTTATATCAATGTCATCGGTCGACTGCACGTTCTGCTTCGAGCATGGTTTTTTCTCCTTTTTTTTGTGTCACTTTCCCATTGATTCGCTAAATGAATTGAGAGATATTTGCTTTAAACAACAAATGTGTACATGACAAAAGTTCAGTTGAGAAAACGAAGCACGATCAATTGATGACATAATTTGATTTTGACTAATTTTCATTACCTTTTTTCTTTTTGTATCTTTTCAGGATAACCACAAGGCACTCAACATAGACAGTGAAGCATTGCGACGAACTTGTTTTGAGTGTTGTGCGAAGATTTAAAAGATTTCTTCGGCATCATTGATATGAAGCTTAAAGTTATTTCCTATCATTATTGTTGACAATTAGTAAGTGTGCAGATGTTTAATGTATTTTACGTAATGTCTAAAAGAGATGATTACCGAGCCGCCTTCGTCTACTTAATGACCATGAAACGCCGAAACAATAAAACTTGATGACGCAGTTGTTTCCTTTATCGTCTTATGGTCAACCGTATTAAGTATTATTACTCTCAATCCACCCCGCATCTTTTATCAAAAAAAAAAGAAAAACACCAAATTACGTCATTGAAAATGGTTGGAAATAACTAGACAAGTTCCTTTTTGATGTATCAATTGTTAGTATTTTTAGATTTCTGCTGTTTGGGCTCTTTTTTGCACAAAAACTTCGTGCAGAATATTTTCTTCCTCTCTCTTAAGTCAATTTCTATTATTTCTTCTTTATGATAATGTTACGGAAAGAAGACTTAAGAAAATTACTGAAGTTTCCAAAAACATTTGTGATACGTCAAAATGAAATGAAAACAACAGTCGTTGAAGTCGAAATTGAATAGGCGCAAAATGAAGGAAAAGAAAAGAAATAAAAGTTTTGAGAATAACACAAACTTTTGTCTGCAAACTAAGCTCGTAAAAGAAAAGTTTTCATTTTAAATGGATATTATCTGCATGTAGAAATAATGAGCTACGATAATGTCTAAGTGGAACAGAAAGCTTTTTAATTCAAATGTCTTCAAATGCTAACGAAAGCTTGAAAGATTTAAAGACGTTCAGCTCTTATTTCAAGGGAAATTTCATTAGAAAATGCATTTAAAGCTTAAGTAGCGTAAAGAGGTGGTATCGTAGAAAGTCAGGGTAGAAGTTTAATGGGGCAAATCATAAATAAAGTCAAGAATCAACAAAATCCAAAACAATTCCATAAACGCTTAAAAGCTCTGAAACGAGATTTTCATAAAAAAAAAATGCTTTTATGATAGGATGTCGTAAACTTTCCCATTCCATGTCACTTTAAATTATATTCCATGCTTCAAAGCCCATAAAAGCTTTATAAGCTTTTCATCAGCTGAAATTTTCTGTGAAATTTATTCAAGTTTAAGCAAAACTGGGACAGAGAAAAAAGGGGGTGATCGATGCGAAACGAACTAACACATTTCACTCGACTTCGTTCCTTAATTTTTAATTATATCATGCAAATGAGAAAAGAAGGCAAACAGAAAACGGCAGTTAATAAAAAGCAAACTTTATTTGATTGAAGTTAATTGAAAAGTTCGCCTCGACGGATTTAAAAGCGCGTTCATTCGACTTATAATCCCGTTTCGTTTGTGTTCAAGCTTCTACTCTGTTTCTTCTTTATGTTCGGATTTTTTCTGCTATCAGAATCTAGCGAATTGCGTGTCTGACAAATTAAAACTCGCAGGTGTAATTAAAAAGCAAAATGAAGTAGTCAAATGTAAGGAAGAGAAAAGCTTTTAACGCTTGTTGTAATCTTTTTAACTTAACAATTGAATGACTATTACCGGTCACATACCTGTCGTCAAGGTTAAAAGCTAAACGTAAATAAATGAACTAAGAAGGTCTGTAAATGTGTTTTTCTTTGTTCTTTAAACTCTTCAAGTAAGTTTATTATGTATGGCTTCTCTTTCAAAAAAAAACTTAATCGCATGTCAAAATATAAAACAGGAAAGTCAATGTCAAATCGTATGAACTGAACCCAGCTGTGTTGGAGCGTTAAAACGACTTCGTTTAATATTAATTCGTTATTTGCTTTCGTTGACACATTCGGCATCACGTTACATTATGTAGGAGCTTTTACGCGTTGTAAATTTAATGTTTCATTAAATTTGAATTATTTTCCTTCATTGTTTTTTCATACACATTTCTTACTTTTAATTACAGATTTCTCCACATCATGGAGATTCTCAAAAAAGGTACTGCACTGAGAGCCTTTTTTAAACGTCCACAGAAACATGGTGGACACCTAATATTATGTTACATAGGTTTATATACAATTTTACAATCACAACTGGTATGTGCGAGGCACCATGATATAGGGAAACTCATAGGCAGTAATAACAATAATAATGACAACAATAACTTCAACGATAACGAATTAAATAGTTTGCAACTTGATCAACAACATCAACCGCATCAGTCGCAAAACATTAATGCTCAAAATATTCACGAACAACAGCAACCAATCATACTTAAAGAACAACCAATTTTAGGTCAGAAAATAACTCAACAATCCCCGTCCGATGTTGACGTTCCTAATGGAGCAGTGTTGGCGAAAGACGATGGCAAGTATTTCATGGTTTGATATAAATTCACTCTCTATCTCTGTCCCTGTCTTTCTATCTCATCTTCATTGGCTGTCTTATATTCTTTGTTTTAAAATATTAAACTGCTTTCATCTCACATCCCTGCCCGTAGCTGTAGCTGTAGTCATAGTCGCAGCTTGAGTGTTTAATGTCAATTAGTTTGTCTCTACATGGTCATTAAAATTTCAATCAGAGGCATGAATTATTGCATGAGATGGAAAATTTTCCCTCAAATTGGAATTAAAAGCATCCCCGATTTTATTTTAATTTTGTTATTCACTCCCCCACTCTCTTTCGAGCCATCATTATAATGAACATAAATTGATTAATTTCTATAGGCAAAAAAGAAGCTCATTAAAAGTTTTTGCTGAAAATCATTAAATATACGATGTGTTCACAGTTTCATATCTATTCAGATATTTTTCAAAGTTGTATCATGTTATCACAACCTACTCACCTTAATAATAAATAAACAAGGAAACCTTTTTCGGAATGTTCTGTATGAAATTCAAAAATTAGTTGGAGGACGCTTGAATTCAAGAGTCATTGAATTTGAAGCGTGCCATGTCATTGTAACTCCATTTCATCTTTTTTTAATTTTTTGCTCGACTGAAGATTAAATCATAATTTATTCATGATTTCAACTTCAATGATTAATTTTGTTGAGTTTCATCTTTGCATTTTTCTTCTCACAATAAAATTAGAGTCTGAGATTGCTCAAGTGCATGTAATAAAAATTCATCATTTTTCTTCTTTTTTTCTGAGTTGTAAGTTATTCAAAAGAGCCGACATTGAAAAACATTAAAGATATTTTGTCGATGCGTTTTCCTTTTTTTCTCTCCAAAAGTTGCTTTTTCCCTTTATCGTATATGTACAATTTTTTATATAAAACGAAACGAGAGAGATCTAAAGCGTTCATGTTACATTTTATGACTCTTCCAATTATTTAGATTTATTGAATTTTCCATCAATTTACATCTCCATGGTATGTTATCTTTGGAAGAATAAGAAAAAGATGTTTCCAATAACTTCGATATCATAAAATTTCATCTTAAATTTATATTTTTTCATCAAAAAACAACATTTATAGTTTCTGAAGCATATCATAGCATAAAGCTTTCAATAGAATATACGACAAAACTTCGAAGTAGAATTTGAAGTTTAACATGTAAAAAGATATTTTATGATTTCATATCGATAACTAATCACCGAAACTGTTTATAGAAAATTTCTTAACAAAGATGGTATAAATATAAAGTAAAGTGCTTCTTAGTAACAACATTGTTGAAAAAAGTTTATTGAATCTCATATTTCATAAAATTGCAACATTTTTTATTGTTTCTGTTACCTACACAAGCATGCTTGCCTTTTGATTGATGGACATTTAATAACGCAAACAGAAGAAAGAAATTTCAACTCGCTTCGTTTTCTGCATTTCTTGGTTTCATCCTTGACTTGTCATCTCTCATAAATTGCATTTAGTGATAGATTTAGCATTGAAAACTTTTCTTCTTTGTTATTATGAGGGAAAAAAAGATTTTTCTTTATTTTAGTTTTTGTTTTAAAAGAAAACTTTAGTTTTATCCTGAGCACCAATTAATTATGTCAACTAAAGATATTAAGCAAAACAACTAGCAGAACTATATGAAATTAATGTACAAATTTATAAACTTTATTTCGAAATTTTTTGCACTAGATTTCTCTGCTGCACCCAAATGTATATGAACTAAGTATATAAAATATATAAAGCATGTTATGCTTAAACGCCGTATTCGTCGCTAAGCAGTAAAAGATCTTTTTTCAAAGCCTGCCATCCCGTCAAGACTTAAAAGTTGAACTTCCCCCCAATCCACCTCCCTCAATGAATATTTCGCATATAAAACTCTTTTGCAATAATTTAGAATATGCTTCAAGATGATATCATTAAATAGCAGAGGCTTTTTTAAACTCGGTGAAGAATACAATCTTTTTTGCATAACATTTGAATGTTTACGAGCACTGATATATTTTAGGGGCAAAATTATATGTGAGTGTGTGCACAATTTTTAATCAGCAATCAAACTAATGTTGGACATTGCGGGTCAGAGCAACTGTTTCATTCACGCAAAATATGTATAGCATTGAAACGCACGCAGTAATTATTGATTTTTGCATTCGCACCAAAGAAACATAAAGGCCTTCATGTATAGATTTCTTCTTGGCACTGTGAAAGCGCACCTTCCCGATATGATGAATAAGCACAAAACCAGTAAAAATTGAAATGATAAAAAATATAACAAAGGAACATGAGAAAGAAAGTAAAAAGAAAAAAATATCAAAAATCTAAGATCGATGAATGAGCGTGAAAGGAAATAAAATTTTAAGTATTCAGAGTCTTTTTGCTGTAGCAGAATTTTGATATTTTGAGCACGAAATTTCGAAATCAAATGGTTGAATTTGTAAATTAATTTTAAATTTTTCCCTTTCTCCCTTCTCTCCTAATTTTTTTTCGCTTTTATTTTGTTCTTTGAATTTTGTGTTTGAAATTTTTCTCAATTTTATGGTTTATGATTTTCTTCGTTACGGCGCGTGGAACTTTTGATTCTTACGGTTGGTTCTTCCACGCTTTTCTTTTCTGTTTTTCTTTTTTTTTCTTCTCGTTTTTCCTTCGTTTTGGTTTTGTTTTGCGTTTTTCTTCTCGTTGACTTTTACAGATACATTTTTTACATTGGACGTTTATTTAGGTCACGGTGACGCAGTGCGTGTAGTAGATCCCGAATTAGGAAAATTGGAGAGGGAGAATTTAGGGCATGAATTGCCACCACATGGTATAAGCTTAAATACTCCGATTTTAGGCACAACATCGACATCTACAAGACGCCATACCCGACGTGAATCTAATCCCGGTATGACTAACAAACGCATGTGTGCTTGACATGTTTATTAATGACATTTGTTTCCCTTTTTTTTCCCTCAAACTTTGTTTATTTATCATTGACTGTTATGTTACAGATGCAGAAGAAAATGATCCCTTGATAGTGACGACAGACAAAGGCAAAGTGCGAGGCTTAACCTTGAACTCTCCGTCTGGACGAAAAGTTGATGTATGGTTGGGCATTCCTTATGCACAACCACCAGTCGGTCCACTACGATTCCGACATCCTCGGCCAATCGAGAAGTGGCAAGGCATATACAATGCCACAAAACCACCAAATTCATGTGTTCAAATTGTTGATACGGTGTTTGGCGATTTTCCTGGTGCCACAATGTGGAATCCAAACACTGAACTCTCTGAAGATTGTCTTTATGTGAACGTAGTCGTTCCTCGTCCTCGTCCCAAAAATGCAGTCGTCATGCTTTGGATTTTCGGGGGAGGCTTCTATTCAGGCACTTCAACGCTTGATGTTTACGATCATCGAACATTGGCAGCAGAAGAGAACGTCATAATCGTATCAATGCAATATCGAGTGGCAAGTTTAGGTTTCATGTATCTGGGAACACCTGATGCTCCAGGAAATTCCGGATTATTTGATCAAAATCTTGCATTACGTTGGGTTCGTGATAACATACATCGTTTTGGTGGTGATCCTAATAAGATTTGTTTATTCGGAGAAAGTGCAGGTAAATAAAAATCTTTATTTGTTATTCTTTAAAAAGATCAATTTTATGTTTTTTCTCTTTCAGGTGCTGTTTCAGTGTCAATGCATCTTCTGTCACCACTTTCAAGAGATCTTTTCCAAAGGGCGATCTTGGAAAGTGGTTCACCAACAGCCCCATGGGGTCTTATAACTCGTGACGAAGCAACTTTACGTGCACTTCGTCTTGCTGAAGCTGTTGGTTGTCCACATGATCGAAAGAAACTTTCAGAAACTGCCGATTGTCTTCGTGAAAAAGATGCAAAAGTTCTGGTTGATAATGAATGGGGAACATTGGGAATTTGTGAATTTCCATTTGTGCCAGTTGTTGATGGCGCTTTCTTAGATGAAACGCCTCAAAGGTCACTGGCATCAGGACGTTTTAAAAAGACGGATATCTTAACAGGAAGTAACAGTGAAGAAGGTTACTATTTCATTATTTACTATCTAACTGAATTACTGAGAAAGGAAGAAGGAATTACTGTGTCACGCGAAGAGTTTCTTCAAGCGGTTCGTGAACTCAATCCCTACGTTAATGGTGCTGCTCGACAGGCAATCATTTTCGAATATACTGACTGGAATGAACCAGACAATCCTCATAGTAATCGCGATGCTCTCGATAAGATGGTCGGTGACTATCACTTCACATGCAATGTTAATGAATTTGCTCAACGATATGCCGAAGAAGGCAATAATGTGTACATGTATTTGTACACTCATCGTAGCAAAAGCAATCCATGGCCTCGATGGACGGGTGTCATGCACGGTGATGAAATAAACTATGTGTTTGGGGAGCCATTGAACCCACGACTTGAATATCTTGAAGGAGAAAAACAGTTTAGTCGACGTATTATGCGTTACTGGGCGAACTTTGCCCGAAACGGGTAAATTTATAAATTTATAAATTTTTACTTCACTCTTTGACAATAATTTTTAATATTTCGATAGAAATCCAAATCCTGGATTGATTGACGAATTGCCTGAATGGCCTCTTCACACTGCACAAGGCAGACAATATTTAGAATTAGGCATGAACACATCCTTCATTGGACGTGGTCCACGCTTGCGACAATGTGCATTCTGGAAGAAATATTTGCCACAGCTTATGGCAGCAACTTGTAAGTTAAATTTTTCTTATTCCTTAAAGTAAATTGTTTTTCTAAAATTTATGACAAATAATCTTAGCTAATCTTCAACCTGCTACTGAGCATCCTTCGCCACCCTGTACAAGTAGTGTAGCTTTTTATGGACCACAATTACTAGTCATCATCACAATGAAGCTGTTCATTAAAATAATGGGCTAAAATGTAACTAGAAAATTATTTGTTCGAATTAAAGCTTAAACTTAAAAAGCTATTTATAAATTAGGCTTAATTTTTAAGAAGAAAAGAAAGAAAAAAAACTAATAAATAATTAAACAAAAATATATATTTATTGATCGGTGAAGCCAATATTTTTTAAGCAAAAGTCAAATCAGATTAAAAGAAAACAAATTTCATTTTAATTAATTTTCATCAATAAATGGAAAAATATTTCAAAATAAATTGGTAATGACGAATGATAGGCATCGAAAATAAATATTGTAAGTTGATGTAAGATGACAAAAAAATGAAAAATTGTGACGAGCAGAGTAGATAAGAATTTGCTCATTTCTTTGCATATTTCAAGCTTAATATCTCAATGACAATATTAATGATTGGCTGCGAATGTAGCAATTTCTATATTTTTTCAATTTGAGTCTTAAAAGTGGAATTCTTACAATGAATCAAATTATCTTCCTTTTCATTTCGCCTGATTGAGTTTGCTTGTCTTTTGAGTTAAGGAACAATAAAAATATTGGTATAAATAATTCGTAGGATAAATTTGCTACTTTAATTAATTATCCATGCCTCTACAGTTTTATAATAAATAACATACCACAATGTAGTACAAAAGATACGATTTTAGTTTTTTTAGATTTGAATATCCATTTTTTTCTTCTTTAAACACCAATAAAACTAGTAAAGTTCTTTGATCTATCTATAATTAAAGTTCAAAAACATATCATCTAATAGACAAACTTTCTATGCAGAGCTTTACTTTAATCTATCGAATACACCCACTTACAGCAAAGATGAAAGCTCAAGTCTATTGGACCCTTTTAGGAAGCTTGAAATAAGAATATTTAAGAAATGATATTTAATTGACGGAGTTCAGGATTTCACTAAAGAATTAAATATTAAAAAAAAATCTTGAAAGGAAGAAGAAAAAATATTCTAAAATTACCAAAAAAAAAAATGAATTGAAATGGTTAATGCATGTAAATATCGAGACAACAGAAGATAGAATTCAAATATTACGTTTTACAGATACATATCTGCGAACAATTCGTAATATTTGAGGATATCGCGAAGATTGAGATTTTCGAAGGAAATGAAACGATTTTAATGGGAAACTATCGCGTGGTGTTCAGGATTGATGAGGTGAGAGTGAATTATTTATAGAATCTTTGCTGCCTTAAACATTAAAATGAATGAATAATGAAATAATTAAAAATTGACTATTACTCATAGCTTTTAATATTTAAGAAAGAAAAAAAAATAATTAAACAATAAACGAAAGTAAAATGATCTTTTAATTCTCTATAATCAACGATTTTTCAGAAACCAAATGTCAGTTAAATATAATTTATTTTGGAAACTCTTTAACTTTAGTACTTATTGCAAAGTTCTTAGTTAAATATTACAAATTCAGTACTTTCAACTCACATAAAATATTTAATTCAATTTGATGAAAAGAAAGATTCACATTAGAAGTCAATGAGATAAATTGAGCATAAAGGAAAAGCTTTTTTATGAAAACCCAAAGTTGCGAATAAAATTTAATAAGAAACTTATGACTTTTGATAAATTTTCCTTTGCATTGACGTTAGATCGATAAGTAAAAGTCTGCGTACAAAATAGATGACTTATAGTGTTTGTCGCAATTTCCTAAGTGAAATATTTCTCTCTGCTGAATAAAGATGGGATAAAGATGAATTAGTGGCAAAATTTGTAGTGATGTTTAATGTTATAAGAACGCTTTTTAATTCTTTTTCTCGTGAAAACAAGTAAATTATTGGGTTCCCATGCAATAAGGAAGAGCTTTCTGTGTGGAAATTTCGAAAAGATATCAAAATTAAAATTTCCATACAGAAAGTTACCAAAATTAAATTAAATACTTTCATTGCCAAAGTCGATGGTGTTATGTAAATTATTTTATATTTAAGAATCTAAAACCATAAAGAAAATTATATTTATAAATTCGTTATTAGACAATTAGAGAAAATAAATATGAAATTCACGCTACATATCTTCAATTGGTGCAGACAGAAAACTACTATAAAACAAAAAGAAAATAAGAAGAAATAATTATGCATAAGTATCTGTTCATTAAACTTATTAAGAAGAATGTATATTTGAGCACATTTCTAGTCCATGACAATTATAAAAAGTATTAAAAGAGAAGAAAAAACTTTATGATTTCGGCCTAAGTGTGTCATGCTTGTGTTTTAGGAAAGAAAGAAGAATTAAAAATATAAAAAGAGAAAACATAGAAAAAAAATTCTTTACCTTATGCGTTGTTGAATAAAAGTTTTGCCAAAGAAAAACCAGAAAAGAATTAGAACTATACTTAAGCACCATGATGAATAGATGAACTTTATGCAATCTTTGCAATTCGATTTCATTTCATTTCAATAAAAGAAGAAAATAAACACACGAGAAAGAATTTACCTAATTCAATCAAAGTAAGATAAATACTTAGAAATTGAGTGACATACATGAATGTTCATTGCAATGTAAAGTTGTGAATGTTGCATTCACAAATAAACTTTTATTGCAACCATCATACGAAAAACAAAGTGAAATGCATATCAATCCTAAATTTTATGACGCAAATTCAAACACTTATCTACATAAAAATAGAGATATAAAGTAAATGACAAACCTTTTATATACTTCAGTAAAGCAATTGCAGATAAATAAGAAATGAAAGAAATATTACCATGAAACATTTAGAGAGCCATATAGAAACTTAATAATCTTTTAATGTAAAAAGAATATATTAACGCTTCTAAGATTCTTCTTAGTTATTTTCATGGAATAGAAAGACAAGGAAAGTAAGTCTAACTCTGCATGAAATTTATTATAAACTATCGTATGGTAATTGCGACTAATAAAAGCATTTATAAATACAAACTGAACTGCACGTCAATAAACCTATAAAAATATTTAATTAAAACTTTTTCAAGTCCGTTGTGAATATTTACATATTTAGAGAAATGTGTTAAGTTTATTGATTTAAATAGCTACTCATTTTATCAACGTTCCATAATTATTGTTGATACGAGTCAGATTTTATAACTATTTTATTTATTTATTTATAACAATTTCAAAAAATATCAAACTCCGATTTTTCTTTGAGGTTTCTTCAGAAACCGCCTAAGCATAAAGTTAAATAATTTGATCATGATAAATCTTTCGATCTGGTCAAATAACTAATATATTTCTCGATTCTTATTTATTTCTGTTATCAACTATTTAACACGTAAACGACATTAAGTGAACATCAACAAAGTAAAATTGTTAATTTATGAACAAAGAATTAAAAATCGTCAAAACAATTGTGAGTAAAAAAACGCTAATGGATATCTAATTAAAAAACAACTAATGAATAAAATTTAAAGTTAGCTATCAGAAAAAATGCGTAAGGACAAAACCCAAATAAAAGTTATGAGAATTCCTTCAAATAAATTAAATTTAAATATTGAGAAGATGAAGAAAATTGAATTATTTAAAAATGCTTTGTTAAATGTAATGAAAGAAAATAAAGTAAATACAATTTAAAATCCAATATCAAATGTTTTTGACTTTTTGACTTTAGAGATAAACTTTAAGATTTCGTTTTCGTTGGGATCTTGAAGAGATCTATAACAAACACCAAGCCATTTCATAATCACTCGAATGTTCTCTGTATTAAACATGTTGGTTATCACGCTTGTCTTTCGATTCGTTTAATGTTTATCAGGAAAAACTGATACAAACAAAACGATAAGAAATTAAGGTTTATTTTCTCATACTCACATTTAGTGTGTCATTTGATAACATGAACATCAGTTCTAATGTCAAATATAGTTAAAATTTATTTAAAAAAGAATAATTAAAATCAATAAACTATTGAAATTTTATATTTCTGCAAAAACCAAGTGTGAGTCGAAAAGGAAATTAAAAAATGTTTTCAGAAGTCATATTAAAAATACAAAATTGAAATGCTTCAACAAATGTTTTGTTAGTCATGTTTTTGTCACATCCGTTACGTGTCACAACAAAATTTCATCAGAATATTTTGTGAACAATAATAAAACTTTATTTCAATAATTTTTTTGTATTTCCGTGCCAATTAAATTGAAGCAAAAAAGCATTTCGTGATGAATTTTATGTGGAAATTTCTCTTATCAATTATTAATTTGTGTTATCTGCTGGTGTTAGATAAAAAAGCTGATAAAACTTTATATTTTAATTATTTTAGATTTCACTGCCCACATAATGAGAGTTGTTATTTGGATACAAGTTTGCGGAATTTTATTAGCAACGAATTGTATATCCGCAGATGATCTCCCCGAAAATGTTATTGAGAACACTGAAGAAAACTTTTTTTCACATTTATGTGACTTTGATAATAGTTCGGGATTGATTTCGAGCGAAAACTTTTGTAATTGTGATGTAACGCCAAGTCCAGTAATTGGAAGACCGACTGTGGTTATTGATTGTCATTTGAGTGAAGGAGTCACAAATTTAACAAATGATATCTTCAAAGCAGAAAAGTTACCAATCAACACTGTCACATTAATACTTTCATATCAAAATTTCCTAGAAATTCCAATCTTTGTTGGGCCTCTATTGGAATCGTTGGACATGTCAAACAATCGAATTGCAAACATCAAAACCCAAAATTTTGTCTACGTAAAATCGCTTCAAAAACTTGATTTGAGTTACAATAACATTTCAGAAATCAATTTTGAAGCTTTTGATCTTCTGACGTTTCTTTTTCATCTTGATTTAAGCAATAACAATTTGAAAACACTTCCGGAAAATACTTTTACGCCTTTGATTGCACTTGAAAATTTAATTCTTTCAAGCAACGCAGCACTTGGACAATCATTAGAGAACAAAATTGTTAATTTTGCTGTCACAGATATTTACCGTCATTTCGGTGTCAGTCCAAATGTGAAGTTATTGGATTTAGAAAGATGCAACATAACAAGTATAACTTTATTGGAAGGTGTTGGACTACTTGAGCTGAAAATTGGATTCAATTTGATTACAAATTTGACTAACATAATTCTTCCATTAAACATTCAAAAGCTTGATGTTAGTGGAAATCCTATAAGAGACGTTTCGTTACATATTTTGAAGAATTTGACTGAACTTGTCATGGAAGATTTGCCTTATCTTGGCAGTATTGAAGGATTTCGTTTAAATAATTTTCCAAATATAGAAAAACTGAGTTTAGAAGGTTCGAAAAACTTTTCAACATTTCCCGATGACACTTTCATTACAACTGAAATGCTTGAAAACAGCACAGACTTCAACTTTAAAAAATTAAATCTTCGTGGGTGCAACATTCGTACATTAGATTCGTCACTTTTGGAAACATTTGAACGATTAGATGAACTTCATTTGGATGGAAATCCTATAAATTGTGATTGCAATATCAAATGGATGAAGAATTTGGAGTTGAAAACAAATCTAAGATGTAAAAAACCTTCTTCCCTGCAAGACAAACTTCTTGATGATATCCACGAAGATGATTTAAAGTGCAGTCGAATGACAACATTTATGAGAAAGGTTTTGAACAGTATTATTCTTATTGTGTTACTAATCGGTTGTTCTCTCGCAATTTGGTGCTTCTTCCGACAACTTAAACCATCAAGTCGTCGAACAAAATTTCAGAAGATTGGACCAGATTCACCTTATCAACGGGTGACCATTGAGCCTCATCGAGCTGAATATTCATTGTATTAGTTAAAGAGAAAATGATAGAAAAATATCTGTCATTAATGGAATATGTTTTATTTTATATTTATAATTAAATACGAATGAGATTGAAAAAAAAAGAATTCAGAACACGTCTTAAAATTAATTTGCAAGAGCTTCTTGAAGCTTCTTTCTAGCCAACTGAACTCGATCTTCTTGTTTTCTGATATCGTCTTCAGTAATTGAGCATGCATAAAGTAAAGGTTGATCGGGATTCACAAACACGCCAGGATTGTTGCTTAATGCTGTTTTAGCTGACATTTGTCCTGTAACAGGATGCATTGAAGAATGAAGAGCCGTTGCTACTGATTGGAATAAAGTTTGGTCTTTGACATGTGGTCCAACTGGTTTCAGTTGTTTAGGTAAATCAATCAATGTGAATTCAGTCCCTTCGCTGTCACATGCATGAAAGTTCTGTAAGCCAAATAAACAATGATAATAAAAAAATTATTAAAAATATTTCTTTGTAAGTCTTGAACCTCGAGTCTCTTTTCCCAAAATAATTGTTTTGGTTTTTCTTGTGAACCGTGTTTTAATTCTGATTTCACTTTTCCTTCTTGTGTTTTAACAACCGTTACTGGTTGCTTAAATATTGAAGCTGTTTGTCGTATAGGAGGAACTAAAGAGGCGTCTGACCGAATGTTCCTGAAAATATTAAAAGTCAGCAAATGTCGAGCGATAGAGAGTGGCGAAAATTATAAAATAAACTAATCATGCTTTGCGAAATAGGAGAAAATGAAACTTTATAAATATCTAAATAAGTTTATCAACCAAGACTAAAAAACTAAATCAGCAAAACCAAAATTAACTAAGCGAATCAATACAACGAAAGAATAAAGATACCACCAAAAATAATTCAAAATGCAAATAAAATAAAGAATCCAATTTTTTTTTATATGTCTGACTTTTGGATACCTAAAATCGAACTGGGACGGAGACGCATTGTTTGTTGGTAAAACTCCAACAGGTGGTGACATTGTAGCCGTCACACTCGGTGAGATGTTTAGCTTTTTGGGTAAGCTCTGAACAGAAGCAAACAACTGGTTCGACGGATTCCTAACGCGATTGCTAGCAGCATAATCCATGGTGGGTTCGGGCCTATTCAAATTAGGACCTTGCGGACTTCATACAGATACAGAGGTTTTGTTATTGGAATGAGTTGATGATTTCTAGTGCAATTTGGTGCAATTATATATGCTGTACTTACTTATAATATGTAGTAAAATCTAAATTCTTAGTCGAGTTGAGTTTACTCGAAAGTGATGCATAATCGTTTCTCTTCTTGTCTATATTCAAGTTCATTTTGTTATTTATTACTTTCAAACTATTTATAACTTATATGTGATTTATTTTAATCAGGATTAAAGCTTAAAAAATAAATTATTAAATTGAAATATTTTCGATTTTTTGTTGACAAAAATTTTTCTACCCACAGAGTGTGTTCAGTGAAACAAAAACTACACGAAAATTTACAACCTTCGTACCCCTCACTTGTTATTTATAAATTTAGTTGAAACCTAAATATTGCCTTTATTTTATTTAAACGTTCTAAATAAATTCTTCAAAATGCCGAAAGCTGAAGTTGGAACGCCAAAGTATTTGGCAAATAAGATGAAAGCCAAAGGATTGCAGAAGCTTAGATGGTGAGAAGTGATTTCTTTTTTTTTCTACATAATTTCACTAAATTTGTAAATTGTTATTTATTTTAATGTTAGGTATTGTCAAATGTGTCAGAAACAGTGTCGAGATGAGAATGGCTTCAAGGGTCACATCAATACCGAGGCGCATCAACGTCAAATGCTGCTTTTTGGACAAAATACTGGATCTTACACTTATCAATTCTCAAAAGACTTTTTCGATTCATTTATGGACATTCTCAGAAGGCAATTCGGTACAAAACGAGTCAAAGCTAATAAAGTATATCAACAAGTTATTGCCCATAAAGATCACGTCCATATGAATTCAACTCGATGGCACACACTCACTGGATTCTGTCAATGGCTTGGAAAAAGTGGAATTTGTGTAGTGGATCTAATTGAGGATGAATGGTGGATTACTTACATTGATAGAGATCCCGAAACTTTAGAAAGGCAAAGAAAAGCTGCTAAAAAGAAGAAAATGGATAAAGATGACGAAGAACGTTTGTTAGAATTTATCGAGCAACAAGTTGAGCGGGATAAGAAGAGAAAAGATGGTGAAAATGAAGAAGAATCCGAAAAGAAATTTACAGAATTAGTGCGAGAAAACGAAGAAGAGAAGATAAAGTTAGAACTAAAGGTTTTTAAAAAACCAGAAGTTCCAATACATCTGCCTCCTCCTGCAAAAATTTCACGGATTGACAATTCAGATACGATGAGTGAAAAATCGTATAAAAGCACGAAATCCTACAAGAGCGATGGCGGAAGTTCAAGCAAAAAATCAGCTCTTGAAGAATTAATGGAACAGGAAGAGAGGAAAAAAGAACAAAAAAATCGTAAGGATTATTGGCTTGCTGAAGGAATCGTAGTTAAAGTCATGACAAAATCTTTGGGTTCTGATTATTACAAACAAAAAGCTGTTGTCATTGAAGTTGTTGACAAATATCGTGGAAAAATCAAACTTCTTGAAACAGGCGAAAAGTTTAAAGTCGATCAAGAGCATCTTGAAACTGTCATTCCAAAGATTGACGGTCGCGTGAGGATTCTTAATGGTGCTTATCGCGATTCAACAGCAACTCTGAAGAGCATTGAGACTTCAAAATTTAGTGTAACTCTTGAAATTGAGAAAGGTCCATTCAAAGGACGAATAATCAGCGGAATTCCTTATGAAGATTTCTCGAAGATCTACGATAAATAATTTCTTTGATTTCTTTGATTTGAACATTTATAAATATTAAAATAAAATTTTAAGCTGAAATTTACAAACAACAAAGTTGTTTTATAATGTTTCATGAATTAATTTCACGAATTTCATTTACATAGTTAATGAAGTTGAAACTTCTCTGAAATCCTAATAATTAGCAAGAACAACTCGTGGACAGAAATACTGCGAATTTTGAAATTGACCCACAAACTCAAACTCTTTTTAAAATTTAAAAGAGAATTACAGGTTTAATGTCATGCAGTAATAACGGTGACACCAGACATGCAATCAGATTATGTCTCATCAGCGATAAAAATTCATTTTCTATCATTTGACAATATTCGATAAAATTTTCTTCTTTGAAAATAATTAAATACACTATAAATAGTCTGATGACAATGATGTATAATTGAAAATTACTTCCCAACACGCCTCTGAGTCATCGAGAAGAAGAGAGTGGAGAAAAGAAGAGAAAGAAATCAAATTTTTAGTCAGCTACGAAGAAAAAAGCTCATGAGTAATGGAAATTTACTTCTGATATTTTCTACATACTTGATTAGCGATGATAGCCCAAAGCTTTTTGTTAAATGTGTATGCAAAAATGTAACTAGAGCATGGTGAATAAATCTTCACAAAGGAACAAAATTTAATTAAATTTAATTAGAGGAAATTACATTTTATAATCATGTAACTTATAATCATGCACTTGCACTTTATTCGTTTAATGCGGATTAAGAAATTCTTTCCTAATTATGAAAGGTTGCGTTCCATTTCGGTAGTTACCTTAAAAAGCGTTATTTTCTTTCTATTTTCTAACAACTTTTCGTGGCTTTTCTAGAAAGATAATGAAGTTACATCATAATTAATTTGTATTTTGATGTCTGCTAGTTTCATGTTGTTTTTTGGTCTGCCCCACAATTACAACACTTACACGTTTTCTACTTTACGGCTTGAAAAGCTTTATGTTGCCCACCAAAACCGCTCAACAAACTTCTTCTTTTCTTTTTGAAATTTTTCTTTTACGCGCGCGAGCGAATGAATGTATACGAACTGAGAAATTCTTCCAAATCAGTTTCATTCCGTTCGTGGTTAGCGAAAGATGTGCATGAATTTGCAGTTATGATGTGAAGAAGATCATGTGTTGTGAATAATCGGTAAAAAATCTTCTGAATTAAATTTTAATATCATTCAGTCATGTGTCATGCTTTTAAATGGCAAAGAAACGAAATGGCCTACATTTATTAAGTGCATCAGAGAGAAACTGAGGGTGATAACAAAAAAGAAAATATAAATATTTATGAACACAAGAAACTGGTGCGATGAGAAGTGGAATTAATAAAAAAAAATTTCTTCAATGGGTCAAAACCTTGAAATTTTGTTAATCTTTACAAAATTGTTTTTAGCATCGTTTTTGTATGCTTTTCAATGAATGGAACAATGTGCGCTATCGCTTTACCATTCAAATAAGCCTAGTTTCGAAGGCTTTTCTTATTTATCTTTTTAATACTTTCGTAATTTTTTTCTTCACACCAATTCAATCCTGATTCTGAAGAAACCTTTTTACGTTTGGTTCAGTGAACTATAAAAACGAGTCTTAAACTGCGAGCGCCAAGAAAGAAAAGTAAAAGTCGATCATCCAGTAAATTGGCGGGGATTCGAATATTTAATGTCATACATGAATTGCAATTGCAGCATTCTTCATTATGCTCAGTTTTTGTGATCAATGATCAGAAAATGTTTTCATTTTTTCAGTGAAACATCGAACGAGAAACGAAACAACAAATAATCATGCGAAAAAATCGAAAACTTTCAATAAAATCAATTTGAAACCAAAATAAAGTGAATTAAAATTGATTTTCCCTAAGGGAGAAAGAAAGGAAACAAATCAACGTGTTATCCAGATAATGTGCATCATAATCAAATGCTTCATCATAGTCACGCTTGCAATTCAAAGTATTTCTTCGACTGAGATTAAGAATAGTAAATTACTGTATTCAGAACGAGAGATCGGTGAGTGTTTTAAAAGACTTAATTAGAGTATAATAGAAATGTTAATTGCTGTTCGAAGATTAAAACCTCTCTTTATGATTTTTTCACGTCCTACAAACTGTGAATATTTATTTAAAGTCAGTTAAGAAAATTCCAATGATTTAAGTAATCTTACAGTTGGAGTTTGCACATCTTGTTTGCAAACTTTCTGTGATAACGATGAAAAGATTAATAAAGAAGTTTTATCTTTATATCAAGAGAAACGTCAACAAGCCGTTGTTGGTATTAATTAACATTTTGATAAGCATCATCTTGAGTGTAAAATTGAATGGAAATATAAATCGTGATTAAAAGTGAATAAAAAAAAGTTTTGTCTTCTTCGGATCGATGAATCCAGTAGCATATTTAAGTAAATACACATATTTATAACTATGTTCAATGAAATTAATAAGCATTCATGTCTGTTTAACATTTACGTTTCTCCAATTTGATTACAATGGAAAGAAATATGCGCTTCTTCGCTATCTCCATTCATCGCGAGTATAAGCATAAATCTAAAGAAGGAAACTTTGTTAAAAATGAAAAGCATTTTTGCGGTTTATATGGGAAAACATTATCAATAGACAGAATACCAATGCATGGTAAATATTTCAGCATAACAATCGCGAAATAAATAAACAATAACAAGTTGTGCTTCTGCTTTCTTTATGTTTTTTAATTAAATTTTATAACGAATGATTAGGTCTGCTTGTTTGATCTTTTTTTAATAGATTAATAAATATTTTATTCACGTATCTAACTAAAATAAGTTTCCTAGGAACCGAAATCAACCAAAAATTTTATTTTTGAAAATTGATTAAATGATTTAAGACAATTGCGAAAAAAAGTCGAAACATTGTTTGAAAGAAAGCGAAAATTACACAAAAGAAAATATTGAAAAATGAGTGTCTGTAAATTATTAATCGGAGAGAATAAGTGAAGGAAAGCTATTAGAAATTGAAAGCTGCATAAAGTCACTAAAGTATTTATCTAATTGGAAAATTGTTAAATCTTCCTCACAAGTTGCAAGAGTAAATCTCTTTCAATTTATTTATGCTTACACATTTATTTTAAGAAACAAACACTTATCTGCTTAATTAAATGAAATAAAATTTACATTTTAAAGTCATTTCATTTAATAAATTGACGATTATAAAGGACACAATTTATTACCGACTACAACTTTTTCTTTAATCTCAGCTTAATGCATTTTATTTACGTAATTATTGATCACATATTTTAATACCAGATTAAAAGAAATATGTGGAGATCCAGTTGAATCTCTTGTAACTTTTTATTTCAAAACATTATTGTGTTAACAGATATCTAAATGACCTAAATATAAGTTAAACTTTATGTATCTAAAACAAATGTATGGAGACATAAATGATATAACATTGAAGTGTTGTAGTCTCTCTGGTTTGAGATTTAGAGTGCAATTAAAATATCTGGCACAATAGCAGATTGTACTCAGCAAACCATGTAATATAAAAAGTTATAATTTTCTGCCATTGTTTACTATCAACAATGACTTATTTACTTCGATCAGATACAAATCATTCAAAGATATTCAAAAATCTCGCGAAAACTTTCATTGAGCTTTTCCAATTTTGGCTTACATTAAATTTCAATTCACCAAAATTTAAATTTTTCATGCTCAAGTCGAAAAAAAATAAATTACCTAAACAAAATGTAGATCGAAGCATAATCTAGAGTAGCACTCACTGAAAATTAACAGTTAATGAACTGTTTCCATAAGAAAAGTTTAAGATAAGATCGACTTTAATTTTGAGAACAAAAGTTTTGAACTGAAAAGAAAGAAAGAAAAATGTTTCTTTAAAACATGTTCACAGCTAGAATTCAACATTTTTATAAAAAACAACTTCAATTGTAATCGCATGTTATGCAAAGACATATAATTATGTTCAATGAACGATCAACGATGACAGTGAAAGTGAACGATGAATGGCATGTGAAAGAGTTAAAAAGTTTCAATGTCAATTGTTCGATGACATTCAAAAAAATTTCATCTTTCTTCATCTTGTTGTGAGGAAATCGAAGACAAAATTTAAAGAAATATATTTTTTTGTACAATAAATTTATTATATAATAAATAACTCGATTTATACGTAACAATAAAGTGAAAAAATTGACCTTTCTCAATATATTTTCAAGTCGATTCGTTGGCGAAAAAATGGTCACCGCTCGTTTGGCTGGCGCCCAATGAACAATTTCTGCCTGGTAATGTCAAAACTTTTCTATCAAATGTTCATGCCGAAAGAGAGAAACAAAACAGTAAGAAGATCAAAGACATTGGCGACAACTTAGGAACGTACAGCCATTACTATCAAAACGATGGGTTTAAAGATCTTATATTTTATGATGGTACGGGAATGACAGAAGGTGGAGTTGTGGCAGTTCAAAGCAATCGAAAGAGAAGGAACTTCGAGAAAGATACGTCACTTGAGTACATATTTGAATTGCCAATTGATGATGCATCTGAGAATTGGTTTCTGGTTACAAATGATGAATTAGGTAAGACACAAGCTTGTTGTAACAACCCTACGTTGTTAATTATGTCACGCTTGATAGTTATCAAACTCAAAAAGATGCTTAAACTTAATAACTCGTGTTATGCTCACAATTGCCTAATAATGTGATCATTTCTATTTCATCTTGTGTAGACAATTTAATGAAAAACAAATCGTCATTTATATATGGCGAGAGTCCATCAACCGTGCCCATCTATGCTGTTGTCAACATGTGCTCTAACAGCATTGATCATCTGAATCAGAAAAATGGTAATGAAATCAAATTATTCAAATATTTTATAAATTTCTTTATTGTGATTAAATTTCACATTAGAAATTGATACGAGCAATAGATTCCAATATAAGAAAAGCCCGTACATTCCATTGACGAAAACACCAGAAATTTACAATTACGGTGCGGCGACAAGTTTTGGTCAATTACCACCCATGAAAGCGTTGAAAGATTCCAATTCATTAGAAACAAAAGAAGTCAATACTGGTGATGTTGAAGACAACCCTACTGTTAATTTTATCAGACGAAAGCGATCAAATGATAAATTAAATGATACGCGACCAAATGAAAGCGTTAAAAATTCCACAAGTTCATCAGATGATCAATGGAAAGCAATGAAAACTTCAAATGTTATAATTTATACAAAAAACGAACAAATTGTCATTCCGAAGGCTGATGAAATGAAAATTATTCATGACGCATCAACTGCTTCGAACATTCCTCATTTTCAAGTGACTTATTGGATGTTTTATCCTTACAGTCAAGGGAAAACTGTCTGCACTTTAAATTTAGGTCCACTTGGACCTATTCCAATACCTTTGATCCCCATCTTCAACATTTGTTTGGGAACAAAGAAAGAATTTGGCTCACATGTTGGTGATTGGGAGCACATGAGTCTCTTCTTCAAAGGCAGAATGGAACCTGATGTAAGTTGGGAAGATTTTATCAATCATTACATGCGTAAATTAATTTAAATATTTTAGGAAATGTATGTGAGTGCACATGATGCTGGAGCCTTTTACACATATGATCGTCTCACCGGAACTTTTGAGTTTAAAAGTCAAGAAACTAGAAAAGGAATTTTGCAACAACCAAATTTTCCGAAAACTGTTATCACGTCTGATAACCATCCAGTGCTGTTTTCTGCCGAAGGATCTCATGGACTGTGGGCAACACCTGGCAAGCATCGATTTGTTAGAGTTCCAAGACTCTATGATGTTAATGGATTTGGACAGCCTTGGGAGACATGGAAGAATGTTGAAGTTATTTATAACGACACTCGAGGTAACAATTTTATATTGATTGAAATAAATGAAAAAAAATTATTTATGTCGTTTGCTAGGAAAACGTTCAATGGGCGGCAATAATCCTAATTGGATGAAATATCGCGGTAAATGGGGTAATCCAAAAACTAAATGCCATCCACTACGAAGAATTGGACTGCATGTATGTGAACAAACTGATGGTCCGACTGGAATTCCTAAGAAAATTTCACACTTTGTTTGTCCAAATTGAATCTAAAATTATTTTATGATTTGTCTTCTGTACATATTTGTTAATTTATTTATTGATTGATCATCAATCTAGAGATGCAAATACTTTCCTTCTGCATCTAAATGTCATCTTGTTAATTGTTATTTATTACTTTGTCAATAAAATGATAATTTCAAAGTTCTTGGTTTGATTTTCTATTAAAATTAGGTTGTGGTTCAACACGATTCTAGATTTTAAGATCAATGACAATTCATGAGTCACGATTGATAGATGCTAATTGACGACGAGAAATCTACGCGTAGAAAACTTCTCGAGGAAATTTAATTATTTAACACGATTGAAGCAGCTCAATTAACTGGAAAAACAAGGTTTGAAAACATTTTAAAGTTTTTGTTACAATTTTTTTTCCTTTTATATTCTCATGTTTACATATTTACAATTGCTTTATCTAAAGCTTCAAACTATGAAATAAAATGAAAATAAACACTTTTTTATATTTCAAAATTCTTAATGATAATTCTAAAAAGTTATTGAATTCCATGATTGGCCAAGTTGCTAAAATTATTTCGCTTTCGATATAGAACAAGTACTTGCCAAAAATCTAAAACAACAAACACGATCTACTCAGTAAATCGATTGAAAAATTCTTCTTTTTTATATTCAAGTATGTGAATAAATCTTTTTCTCGGAGAAATTATTTGCCTCGTGGGTGAGAGTATTGAAATTGATTTAAAATTAGATATTTAATTAGATTGGAAAATATTTCTTTAAACTGATAATTTTTATGAGCAACTTAGTTACTTAGAAGTTTTTGATGATTAATTGATGCAGACAATCAACAAAATCGTTTTAAAGACTTGCAAACCTTATTGCTTTTCATTGAATAAAAATGTTATATTTCTTGGAAGTACCAAACTGCTGATAATCGAATTAAATGAATAATAAAAAGAAAATTCATTGATAAGAGAAATCGAAACTTCAAGAAGTTTTTTTATGGAAGAACTTTTTTCAGAGCTTCACGATTTTAAGAATACAAGGATGACGAAAAACTTAAATTATCTAAGTTATTTTTCAATTATGAAGAATTCGAATGAAATCTTTTTGATTTCATTTCTTCAATGATTCATGTAAAAAAATAATTTTTTGTTCAATGTGACGCGAGTTTACAAAAAAAAGTTTGTGAACGCTATTCAGAGATACAAACGCGACGAGCGTCACTTAAGTCTGCGAAACAAAATGAGAAACCTAATCAGGACGATAAATTGCTATTTTTGGCAAAAATTCTAGTAGAAGAACGTATTCAAGCATCGAATTCGTATTATTATCACAGTTCATTCGTTTCAATGACCAACGGAGTCCCAATTTATGATAAAGATTTGTATTTTCCCAGTCAAGAAGTTTATTGATTTGAGTTTTAGTCTGAAACATAACAAAGAAAACATCAAAAAAATGTTTCAGACAAGAAAGAGATAAAAATGAGGAAAACTTACCCGTTTACTTAAGCAAATTACTGGCCACATGCTCAATCCTAAAGAACAACAACAGCATACACATCCAAAACACAACCTGTGATAAAAAAAGTTAGTGAAAGTGTTTCGACGATAACAACAGACATAAATAAATTTACCATTTAACATTCATGGGTAGATTTTTTTTCAGAACTGAATTTATTCTCGATATCGTTGCAGTATATTCCTCTGGAGCAATTTTTGATATGAGTTGAGTAGGGAATTCTGTATTGAATCTATTTGATAATCCAAATCTATAACATGGTTTTGAAAAATTTAATTATTGAGAAGGAAATCATATGCTCTTTGTTGTTGTCAAATATTACATTGTGACTTCTCCTGTTCCTCGTACTATTATGGGGTCTTGCTCTGTTGTTTCAGGAGGAATATCTTCTGATAAATCTTCTACATATATTATTGCATCGAAATCAGCCATGACTTAAGAAAAAATTAAGAAGATTTATATTTTACGATTTTCACTTTTTCTAAAAATTAAAAACTAAACTTTCAATAGAAAATTTATAAGCATACAACGCTGTTGATTGTATTTATATGCTACGAAAATATTATTTGGATTAATTTTTGTTCAACACACTTTTAAATTTAATGTTTTTCAACCACTTCTTTGCCGCTACAGAGAATTTTGTGACTCTTTAAGATGTTAAAAAAGGTTTTATGTAAATAAACGGGATTAATTTTTAGTTTTCTTTATTTCTACTCTGACTGTAGTTGTATACCCTGAATGGGGTATACAATAAAAGGAGGGGAAGTTAAGTTTTATTGACTCGAAATATAGAAATTTGAAATTAAAACATTTCTCAAATGGAGCACAAACCATCAAACCTTACACAGTCGTTTGACAACATCCCAGCTATCGATGAAGATGATCAACGTATGTGTTATTACAATAATTCAGAAGCTATTATTGTTGATCTAAAAAACATTCGTGACTAATTTCTTTTCCAGTTGTCGTCAAAGATGAACAAGTTTCTAATATTTCGAATGGAATGGGATCGAAATCTTTAGAATCAATCAATTCATATGACGGATCTCGAAATGGTGACTCACAAGAACAAGAGGATGATGTTGAAAAGGCAAGACTCATCAGTCAAGTATTAGAGTTGCAAAATACCCTTGACGATTTAAACCAAAGAGTTGATGGTGTTAAGGAAGAAAATCTGAGATTAAAATCTGAAAATATGGTTTTGGGGCAGTACATTGGTGAGTATTTATTGCATGAAACATATGACTTAAGATGTAAATTTTGTTAATTCAATTCAACAGAAAACCTAATGTCAGCTTCATCAGTTTTCTCATCAACGAGCCCAACAAACAATATGAAAAAGAAGTAAATTTTGAAAAGTGAAATGTATTGCTTCTGTGCTTTCCATATCTATTTAATTTCCATTCTAATCTTGATATTTATAACTTTAAGTAGCTTTATTACAATTTTTTATTTAAGTCGCAAAAGTGCAGTTCATTAGTCTGGTGTATAGTTGAGAGGTTTCAACATTATTATGACAAATTCAACCTAATTTTCTGCTTTAATATTTTACTCATAATAATATTACAAATTAACATCAGATGAAACAAAAAAAAAATCTAATAAAATTGTATTTTAACGCTTTTTAAGCATTAATCTCTTATAATAAACGAAATGCCTGAAAACTCTTGATGTTTATATGAACAAAAATTGACATCCTTTATTTTTTATTATTAAAGTTAATTACGGCAATATTCTTATAAATTCAATCTTAAAATCGATTGATCAAACTAAGCACATGTTGTTTCTCATGTTCTCGCCATTCAGCGTTTTGTGCATCACCCAAATTTCCAGCATATTCACGCATGACATCTTTGATAACTTTTAATGACGATCCTCGAAGATTCAGAATTTGTTGAAGTCGTTGTTTAATCTTTGGACCATCTGGCGATATAGCAATTTCCAAGACAATATAATCGACGAGTTGAAGAGTGAAAAGTCCACCAGAAAGTCGTTTCATATAATTTCCTTCTTGGTCATCTTCATCCTCATCATTATTGTCACCAGGCTTCTTAAATCGTTTGGAATCTTCGATTTCTCTGTCAATCTTTTCAACTTTCTCCAAATATTTCAAATGAAGTTCCATCAAACGATCGACTTTCTCGAAATCATTCTCAACAAACTTTGAGAGTAATCGTTGTTTCTGACTTCCTTTTGTGTTGCGAAGCATGCTGAAAAATGATTTGATTAATTGAGATAATAAATTAAAAATAAATTAATGAAGCTACCTGCTAATTATGGAACAAACATGCTCTTCAAATTCTTCCGAGCTCAATAATCGTTGCTTGTTTTTTTTCGGTGTTTTCATGAACAATGGAAAAATTGTTCTAAGACCAAGAATATCAACAAACTTCAGACAGTTTTCTTTTCCATCAGAACCAGCACAAGCATAATCCAAAACTTTCAAAGCTCCATTTCTGCTGAGCTTTTTCTCTCGAAGCATTAAATTCATGAGTTGACATCCTTCTCCTTTAAGGAAGTTTGTTCGATTCTCTTTGGCCAATAAACTCGAGCAAAGACAGTTAAAAAGATTTTCCATATATTCCTTTTCTTCTTCAGTGACAGGATCGTGACGTTTATAAATAGCAAGTTGTTGTAGCAAAACGTCGATTCCATCGATTGACCCAAGAAGGATTCGATTTTCGTTGGTATTTTGAAGTAGTATTGATAAAACTTCCGAGCAATAAAGTTTGTTAGCGTCATATTGTTTAATCTTTAATCTCTTTAGAATCCATTGCATGAGACTTTGTTCAGCAATTTCGACGCAACTTTCAGGGCGAAATTCTGTGAGATTTTCAAAAATCGAAAAAATGTTATGAACGGCATCTGATTCTTCTTTAACACTTTCATCCAATCGTTCAAGGCAGTTTGAGACCAAGAGTTTTGTTATGTTCTGTTCTTGTAAACAATCAATCAGTTTTTCGGATCCTTCGGTGCTTTCATGGAGAATGTCAACATCAGTGAGTTCCATTAAGATTTCTATGATAGCTGCTGCAATATCAGTATTAGGATGCGATAGCAATTCGAGCATTGAAGACACGACATTTAATGAGACCAGCAATGGATAAAGATCGGGAACTGTTGCTATTGCCTGGAGTTTCTTAATCGCATCATGTAAATCAATTTCACTGTCCATAAACTTTTGAGGATCTTCTGGATATTTCAAACGCATCTTTTGGTTACCTAATACACGCTTTTCAAAAAGTAAAGCTAGTTTCTTTAACCCGACTTCATCAAGTACTTCGTCGTCTTCATCTTCATCAGCATTGTCGATTAATTCCAGAATTTTTTCTTCAATTTTCGGCTTCTTTGAATATTTTGGTTCTGATTGCTTTCCATCTGTATCTTCATCATCATCTTGTTTACGTTTTGGAATTGTTTCAGGTTTAAATGATAAGAGATCAGAAACATCCATGTTTTTCTATTAATTAATTGAAATCGTTTTAAAAGTTTTTGTTTTGATTTTTTTTGTGAGTGTAAGGGGTAAGAAGAAACTTATAAGAAGCGAAATGTTTTTGTCGCTTCCTTTCTCTTCTTCCAAAAGCTTCGCACCTATTTGATTAAATTGCCGAATCATTCAATATTTTCAAGTAAAACAAGGAAGTTTTTTTTAATTTCTGATTCAAACCATAATAATATCATCGATCAAACATTAAATAAAGTTATGGCAGGAACTCTCGAAGATAAATCAATATGGGAAGAGGAGGAATCCTTAGCAGAAGAGGTATTACGAATGCCAACAGATGAAATTCAATCGCGAACTCGTTTAATGGACAATGAAATTAAGATCATGAAGTCAGAAGTGATGAGAATAACTCATGAGTTACAAACACAGAATGAGAAAATCAAGGATAACACGGAAAAGATTAAGGTGAACAAGACATTACCATATCTTGTATCGAATGTTATTGAACTGTTGGATGTTGATCCACAAGAGGAAGAAGATGATGGAGCAGTAAATTTATTGGATTCTCAGCGTAAAGGCAAATGTGCTGTCATAAAAACATCAACAAGACAAACTTATTTCCTTCCTGTCATCGGACTGGTCGATGCTGAAAAATTGAAGCCTGGCGATCTTGTTGGTGTCAATAAGGATTCTTATCTCATCCTTGAAACCTTACCAGCTGAATACGATGCTCGTGTAAAAGCCATGGAGGTCGACGAACGTCCAACTGAACAATATTCGGATATTGGTGGCCTCGATAAGCAAATTCAAGAACTTATTGAAGCTGTAGTCTTACCAATGACACACAAAGACAAATTTAAAAATCTTGGAATTCATCCACCCAAAGGTGTTTTGCTTTATGGTGTAAGTTTCACATATAATTTATATTTCAAAGTGTAATGAATGAAATAATTTCTTTACAGCCACCTGGTACTGGAAAAACTCTTCTTGCGAGGGTAAGAAAAACAACAAAATAATCATAAATAGATTAATTATCTTTAAATCAATTTTATAGGCATGTGCAGCACAAACAAAATCCACATTTTTAAAGCTTGCTGGTCCACAGCTTGTGCAAATGTTTATTGGCGATGGTGCTAAGTTAGTGCGTGATGCATTTGCTTTAGCAAAAGAAAAAGCTCCAGCAATTATCTTTATTGATGAGTTAGATGCCATTGGAACGAAACGTTTTGATTCAGAAAAGGCTGGCGATCGTGAAGTTCAACGTACTATGTTGGAGTTATTGAATCAACTTGATGGCTTTAGTTCAACAGCAGATATTAAAGTTATTGCTGCTACAAATCGTGTTGATATTTTGGATCCAGCATTACTTCGTTCTGGACGTTTAGATCGAAAGATTGAATTTCCACATCCAAATGAAGAAGCTCGAGCTAGAATTATGCAAATTCACTCTCGTAAGATGAATGTTAGTCCCGATGTGAATTTTGAAGAATTAGCACGTACAACCGATGATTTCAACGGTGCTCAATGCAAAGCTGTTTGTGTTGAGGCTGGTATGATTGCTCTTCGTCGTTCAGCAAGTACCGTCACTCATGAAGATTTTATGGATGCTATCATGGAAGTGCAAGCTAAGAAGAAAGCAAATTTGAATTATTATGCTTAAGATTTAGATCGTGTTTGTGCTTATGTATCACATAATTTTTTCTTTTTCTCATTAAAAATGATTTAATAAAATAGTTTTTCATTCATAATTAAAGATTTCTAACGAAATATATTTAAGTTGAAAGCGACACACCCACTGAGCTTTAATAATTTTAAGCTTACTACCCTCATTGTTTACAAAACGTTTAACCGTAATTTTCAGTAATAAATTAGTTTTCAAGCAGCATAATCGTCTTTAAATGAGTAGAAGTAGATCATCGAGTGTGGAAAGACAAGAGGATCGTCGCCGGTCAAGGTCCAGAAGTCGAAATCGAAGACGATCTCACTCGAGAGATTCTCGAGACAGAAAAAAAAGTTCTGATCGACGACGAAGACGTTCCAGATCGAAAAGTCAAGATCAGAAGAAATCAGTATCTAAGCATAGACGAAACAGAAGGAGTTCAAGCAGAGAAAATGAAAAAAATCATTCAAAAGCCTCACACAATCATAGAAGAAGGAAATCAAAATCACCAAATTCTTTTTCCAGAGAAATAAACGAAAACGATTCAAGAAAATGGAAACACGATATGTACATTGACAATCCAGCTCCATTTAAGCATGAGAGACGACGTCATCATCAACAAAACGATGATTTTATGCAAAGTCGAAGAATTGAAAGGGAGTTAATAGGCTCAGAAGGAATTTCTATTGTATGGGGACGATCACCTCAAAAAGAAAACGAAACTTCAAGTGATGAGAGTTCAAAGGACAAAAAAAAACATAAGAAATCATCAAAAAAGAAGAACCATAGTAAGAAGTCCAAGAAAAAGAAATCCAAGAAGAAAAAATCCAAGAAACGAAAGGAATCGTCTTCGTCCTCTTCCAGTTCAAGTGAGGAAAGCGAAGAAGAAAAGTGGGTGGAAAAGAATTCTGATGATAAATTTGAAGGTACGAATCCTTTGAAATCATCCAAAGACGAAGATGATGGTGATGGTGAAGAATTCGGTCCATTAAGTAAAAATAGTGCAGGATTAAATCAAAAAGATTTCGGTCGAGCTTTGTTGCCTGGTGAAGGTGCTGCAATGGCTTCATATGTAATGGAAGGAAAAAGAATTCCACGTCGTGGGGAGATCGGTCTAACTTCAGATGAAATTGAGACTTTTGAGTCAGTTGGATATGTCATGAGTGGATCCAGACATCGAAGAATGGAAGCTGTTCGTATAAGAAAAGAAAATCAAATCTATTCAGCTGATGAGAAGCGAGCACTGGCGATGTTTAGCAGAGAAGAACGACAGAAGCGTGAGAACAAAATCTTGTCACAATTCAAAGAAATGGTTACAGCTAAGACAACAGCTGCTAATAAGAAATAAGGTTGAGAAGCAAAATGTAAACAATAAAATTCAAATTTTTACTCATTCTAAGCTTTTTACCCTTTCCAAAGAATTGTACCCACAAATACCGACAAACTTTCTTACCCTATACGGCAGTAAAAGAAAAAAACAATTCAGTTGAAAATAAGTTTCTTAAATTCTTAAATAAATCTTAAAAATTTGATTGCAAAATACTTCTACATATTAATTTATAATAGGAAGAACTTTAGCCAGTATGATGCTTGGTTTAAGTTTGAATTTAGCCATTTCAGCAACAGTTATAATAAGTTGTTTTATTTTTGTGATTTTAAGCTTTTTCAAATCATTGAGGTTAGTTCAAACTTTATTTTATTATTTTTTCTTACAATTTCTAACGAAACTTGCTAATTAAATTATGAAAATTATATTTATAGAAAACGTTTTCCGAAAACAGTGAATTGTTGGTTTTGTAACTCGAACACCAGAGTGCCTTACAACAATCAGAATTCTTTTACTTGTCCGTCTTGCCTCCAATTTAATGGATTTACAGACGATGGAGATTACAATCGCGAGATTCCTGAACAACACTATTCAAAACTCAATACTTCCAGCAACTTCTACTCCCAGAGAACTGAAGGAAGGCGAACACCCTTCAATGGACTTTGTGATCCTTGTAATCGCAATCAAGAAATGAAAATTATTCAACTTGCCAATTTTAAGCCAAGATTTGAGGCAAACTATGACGAAGAGATTGAAGAATATAGACAAAAACTTGAAGACTCTTATCAACTTTGTCAAGAATGTAACAGACACTTGAGAAAAACTTTGAATCGTGTAAAAACGAAGCTCATTGGATCTAAAATTTCCCAATTAGTTTCAAAGGGCATCAAATCTTTGAATTACCAAACTCAACCAGGAAATGACCGTCAAATTTTAAGCAAAATCAAAATTTTTACAATTTTTATATTGAGTGTGGTCAACTTGGTGAAGGTTGCAGAAATTGATTTGAGTTTCCTTCGCTCAATAGCTCATGGGTCATTCAAAAGTTTTTACTTTCATCTCATCGCACTTCGTCTTACAATTAAGGATCTTTTAATGAAAATACTAAATGAGCTGAATCTTCAATATCCAGCTGATTTAAGTATTGATTACATTGCTTTAACCGCCATAATCCTCAACTATTCTATTTTACGAAATCAAAAACAAGCACAGAATCAAGTAATATTTTCGATGCTGTTTTGGTCCATAAAGATGGTCGTCAAAGAATTCCCCATCAATTCATCTTACATATTAGCTATTGATGGTTCGATTGCTGCTGCTTTAGTGATAACATCTTTGGCTACAATCATCAAGTCATTTGGAAGTAAAAAATCAGAAATTAATCAAAGCTCAAGTTTCCATAAAATTCATGCAGATGTCAATGAGGAATCGGATGTTGAATGCGACACATCAAATAGTTACGACTTTGATGTACGCAGTTTAAGAAGTTCAATCATTTCGCAGCCATCATCAAGATTCAATGGAACATTACGAGAATCTACTCTTAAAGCTCCAATCAGAACAAGTCCATTAAGTGAGACAATCTTCCACAACAGTACTTTTGTAACTCAACCAAGTACCAGAAATAAAACAATCACAAACTTCGATACTTTAAGCAATCGGAGCTTTAGTATTAGACAAGAAGTCACTGCAGCTGAACGAAATCAAGTTCACAAAGATATAAATCGACTGAACATTTCCGGATCATTACTAGGATCGTCATCAACAATTAAAGACTTTCAATCAGCTAGAAATTTGAATCCATTTTCGCTTGAAAACAGTCGATGTGGTTCGCCTACTCCGACCATTGCTAGTGTTTTCAGTGGCTGTCATCGAACACAAGTCATTACGCCACCTCGATTGGAAACTTCATTTATGCCTGAAGCAGTCAATACTTCTTGGGTTGGAGGTGGATATTGGTCATCACCGCAAAAACAATATCTCGAGGTGAATTATTTCAAACAACAAACTAATCCTGATACCTCTAGAAGTTCATCGCAATCATCAGGAGTAGGTACAATTGATTCAGAAAAGAATTCAAGAGAAAGTTCAGTGGGAAAGGATGAAATTTCGTCGATCTTTTCAGAACCTATTCGAAAATGTAATCTTTTCGGAAAATCACCTGACAATCGCTCAATTTTTGGGCAGTCTTTTGTTCAAGCGCCAAAAGTCAACAATTTCTTTCTCAACAACTCAAATGACAACAACTTCAGAAAATATCGCAATAGCACTTTCTTAAAATGAATAACTATTTCATTTGAAAATGTGTTCAATTTGTATCCATTAATTATTATTATCATGCAGATTTATAGTCAGTACGTTAATCATTTTAATTTGATTTCTTTTGTGATTTGTTTTAAAAATAAATTGTAAACGAAAATTCTCATAAATATAACGGCTTTTTAATTTTTAAACTATTTGCAAAGTGCTAAAATGTGCGAAAAAGTTTCGTACCCATCACGTGGGAAAGTTTTCCGAGTAAATGATGTAAAATGTCATCATTTCGACTTTGGTACGTTCGTGCGGATTTGGCCTTCCATACAAAAAACCCTCAAAAAATTTCTCCGTGCATGATAATTTCTCCGTGCATGATAATTTATACTCTCTCCACCTGAGACTAGCTATTGCCCGACCGGGGCTGCTAAAATCAGGTGGAGAGTGTATATCGAGTAAGCTCATAAACGGCTATAGCCGCACATGCATCATAAATATCGATGTAAAAAGAGAAAAAAGTAACATAAGTCTGTTGCTGACGACTATGAGATAAAGACGTGTGAGTATTATTCTAAACAGTATAAACATTAGTGGCATGAAGAACACAAAGCACCTGATTAAATGTGTCAATAAGAAGAACAAACATTCAATGACAAAGCAATACTTTTCGTCACAAGTGTTTATTTATTTTAATTGGCTTTAATATGAAAAAATTATTTTCGTCTGCCGAAGATTTAAAGCTTCAATAACTTTTCTCTCTTCAGTCAGTTTCTTTCAAGATGACTAAATTGATAGAGTTAAACTCGCCGACTGACACAGTCATGGAGCTCGTGCAATCGCCAAATGGATCAATTCCACCTGCTGAAGAGAAACACGAGCGTGTTCAAATGAAAAAACAACTTGGTCTTTTGGAAGGATGTGCTATTATTTTGGGAATTATATTCGGATCAGGAATTTTTGTATCACCCAAAGGCGTTATTCAGGAAGTTAACTCACCAGGCGCCAGTCTTATCATTTGGACACTTTGTGGAGCTCTCTCAATGATTGGTGCATTATGTTATGCTGAACTTGGTAAATATTTACTTTTATTTGAATGTTTGAAAAGAATGATGCAATAACTTTACCATCTTTCAAAGGCACATGCATACCTAAATCCGGCGGTGACTACGCATACATTAAAGAAGCGTTTGGAGATCTTCCAAGTTTCCTCTACATTTGGGATGCAACGGTGATTTTTGTTCCTGCCACCAATGCAATCATGTCACTCACTTTTGCTAGCTACGTCATGCAACCATTCTTTGCAGCTGAATGTGAAGTTCCAAAAATCGCCGTTCAACTTCTTGCAGCAGCGACAATTTGTGGCCTCACTTACCTCAATTCGTTTGATGTCAGGACAACAACAAAGTTACAAAATGTTATTATGTTCACTAAAATTGGAGCTCTCGTCATCATTATTTTAGTTGGCTTGGGATGGATGCTCTCAGGTCATTTAGAGAATTTTGATCATCCATTTGACAACACTGAATATGATCCAGGAAAGATTTCAGTTGCATTCTATTCGGGAATATTTTCTTACGCTGGATGGAACTACCTCAATTTTATGACTGAAGAACTTCGTGATCCTTACAAGAACCTCCCACGAGCAATTTACATAAGTTTACCATTAGTAACGGGCATTTATGTTCTTGCCAATGTTGCATATCTCGCTGTGTTGACACCGCAAGAAATGATTGCAAGTAATGCGATTGCTGTAACGTTTGGCGATAAAGTTCTTACTTATGGTGCTTGGATTATTCCCATCATGGTAGCAATTTCCGCTTTTGGTGGACTCAGCGTTCATATCATGACGAGTTCAAGGATGTGCTTTGTTGCAGCAAGGAATCGTCACATGCCTGAAGTTCTCTCGTTCATAAATGTCAAACATTTTACTCCAACACCTTCACTTGTGTTTTTGTGCGTTTTAAGTCTCATTTATCTCTTTATCGGCGATGTTTATGTACTTATAACATATTCGAGTGTCGTTGAAACCTTTTTCATAATGATGAGTGTTTGTGGCGTTCTTTACTTTCGTTGGAAACAACCAAACATGGTTCGACCCATCAAAGTTAATCTCATTGTTCCAATCACTTTCGTCTTTATTTGCATCTTCCTGATCATTGTGCCGACTTATCAAGTTCCCAAAGAATGTGGAATGGGATTATTAATTACCTGTGCTGGTATTCCTTTCTATTATGTTTGTGTTGCGTGGCATAACAAGCCAAAATCTCTTCAAAACCGTATCAATCAATTTACAATGAGCATGCAAAAATTATTCTTGAGCGCTAAAGAAGAGCAAGACATGGAATAGAAAAATTCCATTGCAAAGCAATAAGAAAGAAAAAAAACTCAAAATGAATTCACATCAAATCAATGAATCGAAACAAAACTTTCACAATCTCTTTTTTTTACTCTTACGTGTTTTTTTGTGTCTTTAATTATTTAAGTTTTCTGACAATCTCAATCAATGATCTTATTTTTCTTTTCGTGTTATTTAATTTCTTCTTTTATTTTATTTTTAATATTAAATTGACATTATTAATTAGATGAATAATAGTTAAGTTGCATGGAGGTATACGAGAGAATCTCACCTAAAATAATCGCAAAGCGATTTGCTTTCTGACCAAATCTTATAATTTTTGTTTTAATTAGACGTTTTCTAAATTTAGCTTTAAGATTTTAATTTAATTGTCATTTTTTTGTACGTTTTCAATATCTGAATAAAAATAATGATTGATATTCTTTTTATCAAAACGACAACATAGATTAATTGTGTAAGATATTTCAGAATCAAATTTCTATTTAAATGAAAATGTTTCACGACGATAAGAATTGAATGATAAGATTTCAATTAAATTTTAATAATAACAAAAATAAATTCATTAACAATGGAACTATCAAAGACTTTAAACGTGTTTAAGAAATTTATTTTATTCTTCGTAAGTTGTTATTTTCTTTACATTATTAACATTTAAAATCAATGAATGTTACAGTTGTCATTACATATTTTACAAATCGAATCACAAGCTTCTGAAAACAGACACAAAGTTGTAATAATTGGTGCAGGAATTTCTGGATATTCAGCTGCAGCAAGATTAATAGAAAATGGAGTTGAAGACATTGTCATCCTCGAAGCAGAAAATCGAACTGGTGGAAGAATTCATAGCGTTCCATATCGAGATGGTTTTATTGATTTAGGAGCTCAATGGGTGCATGGACAAGATGGAAATATAATTTATGAAAGGTTTAGTAACTACTTCGACTTTGGTGACACAGGATTTGACTTTGCTGATTATTATTTTCATCAATCTGATGGAGTTTCTTTGAATCAGAATCATACGACGATGTTAGATAATTTAGCAAATGAAGTTCTGTGGAATTCTTTTGATCGAATGGTTCATTATGGTGGATCATTTGGAAGTTTCTTTGAAAGATTTTATACAAAAGGTTTAATGAACCAGAAGTTTATTAATGTCCCATGGGCATTGGCACATCAAATGCAAGATTACCATCACAACAGGGTGAACACTTACTTTGGAACCACCAGTTGGTTTGACATTTCAGCACAGATTATGGCAGCTCAAGGGACGAAAACTGGCAGTAATTGGTTGACATGGAGACAAAGTGGATATAAAACAGTTTTTGACTTTATTACAGTGAGACATAAAAACAGAATTAGGATTTTGTTTTAATTCTTCAAATTATTTCAGAAAAAACTTCCAGATCCGAGTCAGTACTTGGACGTTGAAAGTAAAATTCAATTGAACAAAGAAGTTACAAACATCGCATGGGGCGACAACTTAGCGATCATTAAATGTGCTGATGGTTCTGAATACACCGCAGATTACGTTGTTTTTACAGCATCTCATGGTGTTTTAAGAGCGCACTATGAAAGTTTGTTCACGCCTAAACTTCCCGATCGAAAAATATTAGCGATTGAGAATATTGGATATGGATCATTAGAGAAGATTTTTCTTGAATTCGCAATACCATTTTGGCCAACTGATCCAAATTGGGTTCAGTACACAATTCTTTGGTCACAAGAAGACATCAATGCAGTGACAGGAACTGATCGAGAATGGTATTTAAGAATTGAATATTTTATAGAATTATTAAAATGATTTAATCTCCGAAGGCTTCTTGACACGAGAGCTTTCTTCAAAGTTGACGGATTTCCAAATCTTTTGAGCGCATTCTTCATTGGAGCAAATATCAAAGATTTTGAACAGTTTACTGGCGAAAAAATTGCGAACGACTGCATGTGGTTATTGGAAAGGTCGCTTAGAAAATCTTTGCCACGTCCAATTAATGTTCAACGAACTCAATGGATAACTGAAAAGAACTTCTTGGGATCATATTCGATTTTATCAATGGACACTGCTCGTAATGGAGTGTCACCATTTGATTTAGCTGAACCATTATTCAATAGCAATCGACGACCGATTATATTCTTTGCTGGTGAAGCAACATATTTTGCATTCACTGGTTACACCGATGGTGCTATGGCTTCTGGTTACCTGGCTGCTGATGAGATCTTAAGACACAGTCATGGAAATCGAAACACTTTTCATAAGTATTTAAGTTTAATTATTTTATTTTATGCATCACTTTCGATCAAAATTTAAATGTTTTATTTATTTAATGACCCATTGAAAATTTACAAGAAAATTTTATTAAAAAAATGAAAAGTTTATCAAAATCCACTGCAACATAAAAATTGATCAGTTCGACATCTTGCAATAGAAATTTGAATTTTTCTGCAATTCCACATTTTTGCGTTGTCTTCGCATCTGCATTTTGATGACATGAATTTATTCTTCAACTTGTAAGGTTTAAGTGGAAATTTATTTGCCAATGCGATTTCATTTAACTTTGTTTCGGGTCGATGTGGTTTTATTCTGATAATTTTGTCATTAAAATCATTTGATGATGTCACTGAAAGTTTAATTAAACATTTTGTAATTAAAAAGATTTCTTATCAATTTCACTTTCGTCACCTGCAGGTTTCTGTCTAAATGTAATTGTTTCGTGATTATCATTAGTTCTAATGATTGCATCTTGAATTTTTCCAGTTCTAACGTTGAGAATGTGAAGTTTCAATAGATTCGTGCTTGCTTCTTCTTTAGTCAATGGCGTGACTGTGACGACTTCCAAGTCAGACGCTGCTGTTCGTCTTCGCTTATCAATTCTTCTGTTTATTCTTTCACTTGGCATGATATGAATGACAGTTACGTTGCTATTGCGTAAGAGTTTTCCCTTTCCATGTACCGGTTTTCCATGTGTCAGTGACCGCATCTCTTCCATCTTAATTACTTTAAATTGCGCAAAAATTTCATCGATTCCACTCACGATGAGTAGAAGCGTAAGTCTTCAATAAGAAGAAATTATTTTTACGCATTTGCCGGTGTTATTTTTTTCAAATGCCGCCGTGATGTTGATGTGATGGTCGAAAGAGGAAATGAGAAAAGATGGGAAAGAATTCTTGTTAGTAGCAATAAATAAAAATTACAAACTAGAAAGGTAATTAAATGGAAATGGGTTCATTGATCACTTAACGTTCTTCTATCTCCCGTTTTCTCATTTCAAGCTTTAATTTGTACTACGCTAATTTTTTTTTTTGGTTGTTGGAAATTGTTTTTCAATTTCTTTTTTCATGTTCTGCAAAACGAAATGAAAGATTCTCTTTTAAAAACTTACGCTTGTTTAACATGTTTCGTTTTAATCATAACATCTTTATTAATATTACATCCGACAGTGAATGATATTATGTTGAAAGCGAATGAAGATGCTTCAATCAAAATAAATGCTTGGCTCGCCTATCAACGATTGGAATGGTCAATGTACGTACACACAATGCCTCCAACATTATTTGCTATCATAAATATCGACTTTGTTTTGCATTGGGAACGTATAACAAAAACTTAAACTTCAGAACAAATGAGGCTTTGAAAAGCACAGAAAAGACTACGATGATGGGCAGAAAAGACAAAGGATAATTGCAAATTATTAGTTCACCAACGTTTTGTTTGTGGCATAGAATTGTTAGTCGAAGAAGATTCATTCGATTTTGAGCAACATAGACCAAGTGATTTAATGCTTTTCCTATCTGTTATTGTTCTTTCTATGATCAGAGGATGGAACTAAAGTAAATTACTTTGAAAATAAAGAAGAAGCTTGAGGAATATAAAAAGATTTAACATTTTAATGGTTAAGCTTCAAATCGCCTTAAGACGTGTTAGAGTAGAAATTAAAGAAAAATGTATTTGATGTTTTGACACATGCTTGGATTCTGTTTAAAGCAGAACCTTTTGTAAGTTTTCAACGAACATTTACCCAAAGCAGCACATTCTTAGCTTAATGAATCTTCTTTAAAAATTTTAACATAAATAAATTAGTGTTCAACAAATCAACGCCATTTCTTCTATATTTAATGTTATTCTCATAAATAAATTGCATGCAAATATCTTACGATACACATGTTAATCTCATGTTGCTTCTTCTCGTGTTCACAAAACGGTTTATCTTTCACCACAACTCACTTTGACAATTTGATCGCGAGAAATTGAATTAATTTGACACCAGATTAAATAAAATATCAGATTAAATCAATTACTTAAAGATTCAATTAGATATAATGAGAAATTATTGATATTGAATGATATAAAATAAAAAAAAATTCTAAGTTTAAAGCGATGTTCACAGAACGGATTCAGATTTGCAAATAAATTTTCACCAAGAACCTGCTGACTTCTTATATATGTTCTCAGTGTCAATTTTGCTTTCTCGCAAAAAAAGAAAAGAAATATTCTAACCAGAACCCTCCCAGGCAGCCTGCAACATCTTCGTTTCTCTCACTTTAACGGCGCTCCATGATAAAACATAAAAAAAGCAACCAAGCAATCTTCTTATTTAATTTCTTTTAATAGTTTTCATTGGGATTTCTTTTACTCTTCTCATTTCTCTTTGTTTATATCGCAGGTTTTTGCCTCTTTCGTTTACATCTCATTCACAATAACTGCAGATACATGGAACTCTTTCTTTTCTTCTCTTATCATTCGTTATGTGGAGACTGCAAACAGTGTTACACAATATTGTTGATCAATGGAACGAAATATTTACGAAAGAAGAAAGAAGAAGGAAACGTTGGAGAAATTATGGGATATTTAAAGGTGAATATTATGTATCAAGAACTTCTGCTTAACTTCCCACTTATATACTGCAATTCTGGCATTAGTTTTACACGCGACTAACAAATTTATTTGCTTCTGGAATTTTTATTTCTCTATTCAAATGTGTTGAAAATATTTAATGAATGTTTTGCTGTGTGATCACTGACTGATGCTTTGAATAGAAAATTATTATCTTAGCTTATTTAGAAAAATAATTGAAATGTTTTCAGCAACAAGAAATCTTTGAAACGAACGTCGTCGTTTTCATGAAAAATTGTTAATTCATGTGAAAAGTCACAGTCATGTAAACAAGAAACGCATCAATTAAAAGACATGACATTTATTCACACAACATCATTATTCTTCTGTTTTCTTTGTCAATGATACAAAGTTAGTGTAAAAGCAAATCTCATCATCACAAAATTGAAAACTGAAAAAATAAAACATGAAAATGTCCTTGGATGAGGGCAAGTTGAGATTTATTATGATCGTGTGGTTGTTACTGATTTGAATATGAAATTGATCTGAAATATATTTATGGACGGATATGCTACACTTCGATTGATGCTTTCTGAAAATTTATTGTCAATGCTGTCACACATGATTGAATTAATGATCCATCCCGTCTTAAGGAAATTTTATGATAATTGAGAATGAATAATCTTCGGTGTCAATAATAAAGTCTTAAAATCTAAATATTTATTAACGAATTGATATAAATAAGAAGTTAATGTATAATAAATATTTTATGTTTTATTATCTGCCATTATAAATTTTATGAACAGACTTAAGTAGTTAGTTTTTGATATAAAATAGCTACAAGGCTTTGATTTCTTTGCGTGCTTCCACTCTTTCCTCCTGCTTTTTGACATCCTTATAAAAAAAGAAAGCAAAGGCCCAGAAGATTATCTGAATAACTGAAATAATAAATGATAAAGTTTTTACGTTTTTATTTGAAATAAATTTCATTGAATAAATTATTTTTACTTAAAATAATGAACAAAACTGCAAGGATGAGGTATTCGTGGTCGAAAAGTGAACTTCCTGGGCTTTTGTATAAAGAAACCCATGGATGCATTTTAGCAGTACTATCATTGAAGGTCTCCCCAGAATAAAACCCGTCAGGGTACATTACAACTGGAACATCACCAAATTGTTTGAAGAAATTATCAGAAAATAATGGCATGAGAATTCCAATTATATTCCATGATATTGACACAGCTGGCAGGAATACAAAAGGTTTGATGATGTCGGTGCTCTGAGTGTAAAAGTTGTTATTCAAATTGAAAGAAAACAATCTAATAAAGAGTGAAACTTACGCAGTCATCAGAAAATGAGAGATTAACTATTGAAAACACATTAAAAATGACTCCAACGACAAGTATCGAAGCAATGAAGAGGCTGTAGAAAATTTTAGTGAAAACCCAGAATCGAACCAGCACAATCATTCCCCATAAAATAAAAATAATTGAAAGAACAAATCCTGAAGCTCCCAACAAAACTTGATTTGCACGCGTTTCGCTGTTCGTTTCTTCTTCCTGTGTTTCTTGTACTGAAACCCTAAAAATTGAATAAAGTTCTTCAATAACTTTAATTTTTTTTTCTAATTATTGTTTTCTTACATAATTTCGTTTTGTATCTATTTAATTAGGTGAATAAAGAAAACTTGTGTCAGTGTCTCAGTGATTTTAAAATTTTATCTAAAACATTTCTCTCGAAACTTCAAAATTTTTGTCACAAAAATAACTTTCTTTTGATTCTATTTTTAAAATTTTCGAAAATAAAAAGTGAAAAAAAATTGTGGAGATTTCTTTTTGTTCCTCATAAATTCGCGATAATTTTCTCAAAATACCAAATGATTTTAAATAATAAAATAATTAAATTAAGAATTAATTGTGTTTGTTCACTTTCATGTCATGTGAAAATTGGTTTGTAATAATCTTTCTTCGCCTTTTTGCAAATAGGGTCTGATGCGATCATGTCTGTGATAATTTTATATTTTATTATCTGCAATTATAAATCTTATGAACAGACTTGAGTAGTTTTTTTTTTAATATAAAATAGCTACAAGGCTTTAATTTCTTTGCGCGCTTCCACTCTTTCCTCCTGCTTTTTAACATCCTTATAGAAAAAGAAAGCAAAGGCCCAGAAGATTATCTGAATAACTGAAATAAAAAATGATAAAGTTTTTAAGTTTTCATATATGAAAGAAATTTCACTGAATAAATTATTTACTTAAAATGAAGAACAAAATTCCAAGGATGAGGTATTCGTGGTCGAAAAGTGAACTTCCTGGGCTTTTAAATTTATAAACCAATGGATGCACTAAAGCAGTACTAACATTGTAGTTCTCCCCAGCATAAAATGAATCAGTGTACATTACAACTGGAACATCACTAAATTGTTTGAAAAATTTGTCAGAAAATAACGACATGAGTATTCCAATTATATTCCATGATATTGACACAGCTGGCAGGAATACAAAAGGTTTGATGATGTCGGTGCTCTGAGTGTAAAAGTTGTTATTCAAATTGCAAGAAAACAATCTAATAAAGAGTGAAACTTACGCAGTCATCAGAAAATGAGAGATTAACTATTGAAAACACATTAAAAATGACTCCAACGACAAGTATCGAAACAATGAAGAGGCTGTAAAATATTTTGGTGAAAACCCAGAATCGAACCAGCACAATCATTCCCCATAAAATAAAAATAATTGAAAGAACAAATCCTGAAGCTCCCAACAAAACTTGATTTGCTCGCGTTTCGCTGCTCATTTTTTCTTCTTGTGTTTCTTGTACTGAAACCCTAAAAATTAAATAAAGTTTTTCAATAAATTTAAATCTTTCTCTTATTATTATTTTCTTACATATCTAATTGCTTTTTGTGGTCAATTAAGTAAATGAAGAAGACCAAATATCAGTGATTTTAAAATTTTATCCAAAATATTTCTCTCGAAACTTTAAAATTTATCTCATAAATGAATTTTCTTTTGATTCTATTTTTAAAACTTTCGAAAATAGAAAGTGAGAAAAATTTGCGGAGAAAAACTTTTTATTTCCCGTAAATTTTCTCAAATACCAAATAAATAAGACACTTGAAATGTTTATCTTAAATTTTAATTCTTTCCAATATTTTTAATGACATTTAGATTAAAATTCAATTATAAAATGGATTATAAGTGATCCAATGTGCACGATTTTGTGTTTGTTCACTTTCATGTGATGTGAAAATTGATTTGTAAACTTCTGTTGCTTTTGGATCGTTTTTCACGGAATAATCTTTCTTCGCCTTTTTACAATTAGGGTCTGATCCGATCATGTCTGTGATAATTTCGCGTTTCCTTGCAGCAATGACGGAAGGATTTGCAACCATCGGTAATTTTGATGAACTTGGTTTCGGTTCTTTCTTTATTTCTTCTGGTTCCTTGCTGGTTGAAGGTTTCACAAATGTTGAAGTTGAAGATTCGGGAATTTCTGTTTTAACTTTGAGTTTCTTATCTTTTTTAGCAGCTTTCATTCTTGCATTTCGCGCTTCCATTCTTGTTCGCATCATGTCAACATCTTCTTCATTTCCATTGAGAATGACAACGTCTTGTTCAGAGTAAGGAGTCTGACATATGTTGCAAATATTTGATTTCAGTTGTTTAAGTGCTCTTTCTGAGAAAACACAACCACATGTCCATAATGCTACAAATCTGAATTGACCACTCATTTCCAAACCGATAAGAGCGCAGATAAATGGTGCATTTTTATCATCTTCAGGAGAGTAAGATGGATTCGCAGTTAATTTCAAATCTTTGATATCTGGAAATGTTAAATGATATTTAATTAATTTTTTTCTCACTAGCAACCAAAATCCTTACCTTTAAGTCCTTTTATGTGGGAACAAGATTCGGGCATTGGAGTTTTCTCTAGCAACTGTTCTATTATATTACTTTTTGAATATAATCGTCCCAAGCCACACATTACAATAGGTTGTTGTAATTTCTGTTGCGTTAATGAGCAGTGTCGCCATCGATAAAGCCTTTCAGAATCTTTATCTTTCTGAAAATTTATGAAAAAAGAAACAAGAATAATCTTCTGGATCTTTCATTTCACTAAATTTATAATGAAAATTTGAAAACTTTATTTTATCTTACCACTTCAGGTTTCTTTTTCAATCGAACAAGTTCATCACGTCTGGGAATGGTTCCGCCATCACAACCCATGATTAATTTTTAAACTGTTTAATTCCGTATTTCTTAAAATAAAAAATATTGAAATTTTTCGTCTTCTATGAGTAATGTTTACGTTTTCTGACGGTGCCGCCCAAATTTAAGCAAGCGTATCATTTAAATTTAAATCAGCCGTTACAAAATTTAACAACAAAAAGTTTGTTCTTCTTGGACTTGGCTAAATTACCGAGTATGCTAAATTCTAAATGTCGAAATAATAATTTTAATCAGAAGATTTCAGTTACCACAATTTTTTCGAAAATAAACTTGATTTTATTTCAATATTGGATCAGTTCCAATTCAATTTTATAATTGATTGAGTTCTGTTCAAAAAATATTATTGCAAGCTCATACAAGACTCAATTCTGGAAAGATAATGTCAATAAATATAAAATATTTTATGTTCCCTTAGGTAAATATTTCACATCAGGAAAGGGAACTTTTCCCGTAATAACTCAATCTATCTATGATTTAATGTGAGAAAAAAATGCCTTATGCACATAATATGTGCAAGTTTATTCCTGAGCATGCAAATAATAACGGATAGACAATATAAATGTTTGATATATTAAGGAAGACGTTTTCAATCATCATAATGGGAATGAATACATCAGCACAAGGTTTGACATATTTGAGTATTTCATAAATGCAAATAAATATCTCAATGTAATTTCCCAGAAGATTCTAAACGAGAATTCTTTAGTCTCGTTCTGTTGAGATCAATATTATTACATGTTGCTGAAACATTTTTTAAGATTAATAAGATTAATAATTTTATCATGTTTACAACTTTCGAGTAGGAACGTGGGAATATAATTTTGATACATAAATAACTTAATTCAAATCATAAATTAATCATTAACAGCAGCACGTATTGTTCTTACGCTATAATTAGAGGAAATTAATTTTTTTATATCTATAATTACCTTAATAAAATAATTTCCAAGTCAATAATAACTACCAACTATAACAATGATTTTAATATTGCAGACACTTTACCATACATCAGATACCTAATAATTAATCTAATTTCATTTCTAAGCGAGAAAACAACGTGGTCGTGCAACTGGAATTTTCCAAATGCATCAAACAGCTGATAATTTTCTCTCTGTGATTGAGAAATATACGAGAAAAGTGATAGCTTTTCTCTCATTTTTCTCTTGTTGCATTTTCCTGACAAGTTGCAAAGGAAAATGGAAAATATATGTATCGTTGCCTAAAATCCGTTACTCATCAGTTTGATTTCTAACGCCAGCGCTCAAAGTTGTGGGTGCTTTTCATTTATCATTAAAAATTATCTTGTAGATAATTAAGACATTCATTAAATATCTTCTTGAGTTTATAGCTGATGCTGAATAGTTTAAAGAAAAAAGTAAACAAAAAAACCAAATTTAATGTTCATTCAAAAATAATTTATTTGAAAAGCAACAGAAAGCAAAATTATTATCTTCGCGTAAAAATTCTTATGATAATCAAGGACCAAGTGTAGAGGAAAATTATAAAACAGTTTTAAAAATTTCAAGAAACATTTTCACTCAAGTGTGAAAACGAAACCCCATAATCATAAATAATCGGTGCTGCTTCTGATAAACACTCATTAAATTTTATGACTGCTTGTCGATGGGGAGGCGGTTGTAGCATCATCTAAACAAAAAATTCACTTTGCGATTTAGCAATTTATGTTTAAACGAATTTAAAACGTGAAAAGATGGAGAAATTAAAGGTGAACTCTAAGTAATTAAAGAGTGAAATTAAGTTGATGAAAACTTTTAAATGCGTCATGAATCAGCTACAAAAGTGGAAAAATAATTGAAATTTTTCTGGTCTTTTTGTGGATTAAAGATTAAATACAAAAGTTCATCGAGTTATTTTTACATATTTCCGAAATTCCTTAATTGGATTATCTACACTGAATTTATTTTAACAAATAAAAACAGAGATAGAAGAAGAGAAGAGTAAGTAAATTTCAAAATATTTTGAACAAAGTGACAAGAATTTAAATTGACAGAAGCCCATCATTCATATCCAAATATTCGAAATTTGCCCACACATAAATATTAACTGTCGGTATGCTGAGTTCGATTAAAATTCATTTTTCTTGTTATTGACGGCGCAAAATACATGAATGATTACTTATTAATATAGGATGAGGGATCGAAATAAAGAAATCGAGAGAGCAAACAGGCAATACGTCCTTGTTTTGTTCAAAGATGATCAATCTCTTATAAATTTTTAATCATTCATCTGTATCGATTCACATTCCTGAACATGTTCACTTCAATTTTATCTTAACTCTTAACGGGTAGATTTGTTGACTACATAAGCTTCGCAATTTGTGCAGCATTGTGGTTAATGTATGAATGTGTGTACGTCATACGAATTATTAAAGAGCAGTTAGGTGGTTCGAATGGGGTTATTGTTCATACTTCTCGCTCGATTAAATATTGAGGAATGAGATATCATGAGGTGGTGAAGTTCATTTCACTCGCAAATAAAGGTGATTGAACAAACTTCATTAAATTGTAAAATAAAAAAGACGAATCTGAATTTAATGACGCTTTGGCATGCGAATATTTATAGCTGAAAGAAATGGAAAAATGTAAATATTAAATATGATACATATGTGTTGTTTTCAAAGTCATACATCAATTTACAGAGCTTAAGGCACATTTGCTAAATTACCGTCTTTTACAAATATTCCAGCAAGTGTGTTAATAAATTTATGATGTCTAAAAAGTCTTTTAAAGAAAAATTGGCAATCGTTAAAAATGTAACTTTTCTAAACGGTTTGGTGAGGGCAAAAGTTGAAATTAAACACATTAAAATTCCCATGGGAAAATTGTCAGCAGTTGAAAAGAAAAAAATTCTTAGAAAATATGCAGCATCAATTTTAGGTCTTATTCATTTCATCATTACGATCCCCGACTCGTTAAAAGAAATATTTCAAGTTTTTTCGTTTCTCCATTTAATTAATTTTTTATTTTATTTTGAATGCTTATTCAAGAATTCTTTTTGTCAGAGAAAATCAATAAACAACATATTTATATTCAACTTTTTCGAGAGTCTCTTCAGCTTTCATCAACCGTGAAACATTCATTTATGATTCAACGTACAGAAAAAGTCTTGCTTAAAAAAGCTTTGAAAATTTTTGTATCGCTTTTATGCAAATTTATTTTATGTGAGTTTCGATACGAGTTTTGTTTACATTTCCGCTTTGAGAAACACATGTTTCGATTCAAAAGTATCTACCGACAGCCAACAAAAAAGAAAGAAGAAAATTACTAAATCATTGCTAAAATATCAACATTGAACGTGGAAATGGTGAAAAGTTGTATTTTCATCTCCTAAATATTTATAGAGAAAGTTTGTGCCATGAGTTTTCATTATTTCTTTTTCCAACAGAAACGAGAGAAAATATTTTACGTTTCGTAATTCTATTTGAACAAAAAGTAAGACAGTTAAATAATTATTAAAAAAAATAGACCAGGAGACAACGTGGAAATTTATGTATGTGCTTTTAAAAAATTCAAGCATTGTCTTTGATATTTAATGTAAGGACAAGGAAACTTGTTGTTGCTGTAAGAGGAAAAGAAAGTTCATAAATATTTGATAAGTTTTTCCACTTTTCCCTTTTTCCCGTGTTTTTACTGCAATCACCGAAGAAACGTTTTCCATCGACTTAAGACAGATGGGAAATTTCTATCTCTTCGTTATTTTTATTTTTGGTTAACAAAGGATTCGTTTCAATAAGTGGATTCGAAGAAATAAAATGATTTAGTATTTTCAGACAATTGAATTTCATTCGATGCGAGCGATTTTATTACCGTCCTCTCCATTCACAATTCTCAATCACAATTCATCAATTTGAAGACAATTTATCAAACACAATTTTGCTTTCATCATTCACTAACGGAATGCCGATACATTTTTTATTCCTTAAAATGAATAAAGTGCTTGTCATTGACAATTAAAGTTAAAGCCATTTTCGAAAACTATTCTTTGTAATAATTGTAAAGTGCAAATGACAGTCGTCTGCTGGTAAAGCTTAAAATTATTTCTTGTTTATTTTCATCCTTATATATTTTACAGATTCTATTTAAACATAGAATTTGGTTGCAAAACCAGATTATCCTCGATGTTGTGAATCATGGTACAAACTTGCCATCAGCAATTACGATTTTAATTAATTAATGAGAGAAAATCTTTTTCATTCTATTGTTTCGAAATCTGATTCGAATTGTCCAATGGATAGATTTCTGTTTTTCATTGGAAGGCAAGAACTTTAATTATTTTCTGTATTGACAGTTCATCATAGCGGATTTGAGAGGATTAAAATTATTGAACATTTCCATTCATTTATTCTATTTCCTTTTAGTTTAGTTCGTGAGCCTTCTTAATTGCCTTATACCTTAAACAAAGAAGAATTATAGTGCTATAAATGTCAGTTGTGTCGAGTAATATTAAAAATTATAACAATAGTAATTAAAATTTAATTACAGTTTTTAAGCTCTTTTCACGTTATAAACTTCGCGACATTCTTTATTCATTAAAATTGTTCTAAATCAAGAGACTTAGCATACGTAATTTCCATCAGTATACATTAACCCAAGTCGTTTAAATGAAATTATGAAGTTAATATGAGTTTCATTTCTTAGATGATGAAAACGAAGCAAATATGTAAACAAGATTCATACTTTAAAAATTGTTTAAAAGCTTTTAGAATAACAAAAGTTCATATTTTGTCTATTAAACTTTGAGAGCTTTCAAACTTCTCAGAAATTCAAATTTAATGATGTTTCAAAAGAGTTCTCAGAAGATATTTCCTTAAGGACATAAATTAATTAAGAAATTCGGTAAAGGGCAGTTATCAACTTCAAGTAATAAAAATATCCATAAAACATGGAAATAAATAAATCTTATCAAGGAAGTTTATAAATAAAACCTCCAAAACTTCAAATTGTATAAAAACATTAATCGAATTCAACATTTGTTAGTATTCACGAAGCTTTACGGGTGTTGCTTGGAAAAATATATAAGCGAAAGCTAATCAATAATGTACAATTAAAGGACAAAAATAGATCAAATAAAAACTGTATGTTCTGTACAAACGATAACGTCATCATTGAATATTTAGTACTCGTTGATAGAATAACAGATGGCAAAGCCGTAGTAAATACAGACAAACAAAAGCGAAAATCGATCGACCACGACTTGAGAAACAAGTCCTGACGTGCTTCAGCTTAGCGACCTTTTTTTCTACCTTATAAAATTTACTTTCCTGTTTTTCTTTCTTTATTGTGACCTTTAAAGTCTGAATTTCGTTACCGTGAGATGAAATCATTGAGTTTGTGGCCAGAAGGGAGTTGGTTAATAAATTAGAGACTTACATTTTGTCACGTGCTTTGAAGAAAGTTTCATTCATGATTCGAGCTTTGGGACTTTTGTTGAAGTATTTTGAAGATGGGTTTGCGTTTTTCATTTAATTGCACAATCTGTAGAAAATTCTCTTATGTATAAGATTCATGTACTCTTCAGGCCTCTTTTTAATGAAAACTTACCTTTTCTTTTGACTCAACAACTTAAGAACTGAAAGGAAATGAAAGAAAATTTTAAGGATTGCAAATCCCGAGAGATAATAAAATAAACTTAGGCTTAACAAAACCTTTATGATGAATATCGAGCTTAAATTTTTGACATTCCGTCTCTATATGATTTATTCTTTGGATATTATGTGTGTCACTTCACGTTATCTTCAATGGTAACAAATTGCTTCCTAAGTCTTTTGTACATTGATGTCTCAATTCAAGAAATTCAGGAGAACAGGAAGTGACAAGTTTTGGGGATAATAAGTCTTATCGACATCTACACAAATATCACATCGTACATCGTCATACGAATTCTTATGAATTAAAAAAGAAAACTTCCTTGAAATAAATAATTCAGGCTTTTCTGAACTATTAATTGTAGACTTCAATCAACGAATGTGTCTTTCCATGCAATTACCTTCACTACATAAAGGCGAAAGTTTGAAAAGTTAGCGTCTATCATTATGAGAGTATCAAATGCTACATTATTGTATTATTCATAAAGTTTTCGTGTTTTTCTTTTAGTCACCCAAAGTCAATTTCAGATAATTTTCTTTGACACTTCAAATATCACTCAATAATAAAACTTAGTCTTTCAAACCTTCCAACTGACAACTTGTACAGTCGAATATAATCATTAATCTTTACTTTTTTTATCGTTTTTTTGTTAAAACAATTCTGAAAGAAAAGAATTATTAATGAGATAAAAATTTACGCATTTGAATTGTCATGCAATAAATCATTTCACGAAATACTTACAATCAACTTGTGTGCAATTATCTGAAACTTTTAAGGATTAGAAAGTTGATTCAAGTGATTAATCGATTTATTTATTCACTGAAGAGAATTTTATGAATTTTCTCATTGCTTTGAGCATTTTTTTGGAAATCTTAAAAAATGCTGCATTGAAATCTTAAGGGTAATAAATTACTTTTGTCAAAAGTAATCAAGCAAGAATGGAGTTTGGATGAAAAAACATGAATTCAAGTGAAAGATATTAAATATGAAATACTTCCAAATTCATGTATTCTCATTGCGTTTATCCTGTGCAAGAATCATTCATATTGTAATCAATTTAAGGTCCTGAAGTCAAGTTAAAATTGTAAAATTACTCAATAATGAACATAGACGTTACTTTAATATTTAATAAAAACATTGTTCGTTCCTTTCATCTTCTTATGGTGTAGTAAAAAGCCTGCTGGAAGTTGTTTTAATATTAAGTCATCCGTTTTATCTGGGATAACAATCTCATTTAACTCGATTCTAATATAAATATAATGAGAATTTTCTCGAAAGTTTCCTCTATAAATTTATTTACTTTTGTATTCTTCAATTTCATGCTGAGTAAAAGAAAATTAATATTATTCATTTTCTCGTATAATTCTTAAATTTTCTTCTTCTTTCCATTGTGTGCATCCAAAATTTACGATTCCTTCCTTGAACTTTTTAATTCCAAACATTTAATTCATTGATTCTCGTAAATCTTTTCCCGAGAAAAATTTTTCCAAGCAACTGAACATTTTGAATTCTTTTTCTCTCGCTCGTGTTCTTCAATTTAATGATAGAAATTTCTACTTCTAGTTTCATTCTTGAGAGTGTTGGTTGAGAAAAACAATAGAACTCCACATTAGAAAAGGATAAATGAAAAGAAATTTGATGAATATGACTTTAAAAATAATTGAAAATAGTTATATCATTTCCATGTTAAAAGTCGTTGATATTTACTTAAACTTGCTTATAATGATTTGGACTGAGGCTTCGAATATTGATAATTGATTTGACGTAAATATCAAATTAATGATCTGTTAATTAGCTACCATCAATAACATTGTTTTGATTTTCCTTCCACCCACGCCATTAAATAATAACATTTTATTGTTCTTTTGTCTTCCATCCTAATGTTTGTTAACACGGACTACCCACATTAATGGTCAACAACTCAAAGCTCTTTATTTTCCAGTTCCCTGATTCGTTTACATATGATTGAATTGAAACTTTATCAATCGAAGCATGAAAATGATTGTCGTATCATTTCATTTGTTGCTACATATAAAAGGAAACTGAAGATTCATGGTTTTGATTTCATACAGTTCTGGCTCGTTACGAAAATATTCAAGACCTTACATGACCTTGAATTTATCTGAGTGAATGTAAAGAAAGCTTATAAATGCAAAGTTTCATAGCAGCGATCGTTTGTTGCTACGTAATTCTGAGTTTTCCCATCCGGAGAAAATGTACGTGCTGCGATGAAATTTTTCCCATAAGAATTTGTAAATCGTGATACCTTCAAGTATTCAGTTGTGGGTTATTAAACATTACAAAACTATTTTTCTCTACGGATATGTCGTTATTATCCGACAGAAGAGTTTGCTGAAGTTTAGGTATGTTGACTTCCGATAGTTGCTTACTCTAGAAAATTCTCATGGAATTCAAAACTATTCAACAATGAAAGCGGAAACTTAATATTGTCGTGTACAAAAAAAGCCATTCTTACTCTCCATCACGTTTAACTTTAACGATTTCATCAAACTAAAGTAAAAGAAATTTCTAAACTCGTTGAATGTTTGTAACCTTAACTTTTATGAATCATCAAATTCATATCTGATCTCACTTTTATGCTCATATATAAAATCATAAATAGCTTTTGGGTTAAGAAATTACTTTGTTTTGTGTTGATTTCACTTCTTTATTAAAATTGACCTGCGTTAAATGTAATACGTCAAAGCTTTTTTTGTCACGGTTTAATTGTTGCTACTTGTGTGTAATAACGTTTGGATTTAAACATTATTGGGTAATGATGGTTATTGCCAAGGTTGTTATTGAAGCTGTAATATAAAACCTTGAATGTTTGTTAGGTAATTTGCAAGTGAAGTTATGAAAATGTTTCATTGAAGCCAAATGTAAACTTGAAAAAAGAAACTTTTCGAATTTCTTCAGACTTGAGAAAGATGTACGAAATTTTTGTGTGAAAACGGTTCATCAAATAAAACCAGTTAAAAACGTGTTATGATAAAATGATATTAGACGAACTTGAAGAGTGAACATTTAAAATTCAAACCAGTTTTTTTTAATTTTATCACTAAATGTTAATTTCTTTTTATTCTTACAAAATCGTATGTCGGTATAAAATTTCACAAATTGTTTCTTCAATCTTAGGTTGGGAATTTCTTTGTTGTTACATCCTAATTAATATTCGATGTAATGATGCTACAGCTATCAAGTTGTGCCTGCTTCACAGTAATGCTTATTAAGTTAAAACTTCTCATTGACTTTTCTTTGTTTATGAAGAACTTTTCCTATTTATCAAGCATACGATCGAAGAGCTCACCAAGATTACACAACATGACTAACGAGATAGCAACCATTATAACACATAAAATAATATATGTTACCACTCCACAACCGACGTATAAAATTCTCATTTTAATGATTTTCTTTAGAGACTAAAAAGACGTCTTTACAGGTGAATTTGCGTTTTCGTACTAAACATTTCTGCATAATTCGAAAATGTTCACCCAAACAAGTTTCAAACTCTGCTTGGGACCAATGACGTCCATTTCAAGGGTATTGTTCCATTGCATCATCATCGTAACATTTAGTATTGTA